ATTTGAATAAACAGGATAGTAAAAACTCCTCTTGGTCGTATTTGAATCACCATGTAATTCTTCTCTCAAAGCGCCTATAGTCTCTAACTGATCTTGTAATTTTCTTTTCAATTCGCTTATTATAAACTCATGTTTTGTGTGATCCATTATTATATCATCCATATTTTGAGCTTGGTTTATATTATTCATATCCTGATATTTTTTATTAAATTCTCCTCTATCTTTATAAAAACTAAATTCTCGTTGCAAAAACTCGTATTTATCTTTGTATTCACCCAGGCTTCTCGTTAATTGGATAATTTCTCTATCTTTTTCGATAATTATATTATCTTTGAACTTCAATTCATCATTCGCTAGAGAGATTTGGTTCTCTAAGCCTTTCAATTTTCTATTTAATTTCCGTGGTGATTCCAATACTGATGACTTTGCATTATCTTGGATAGAATTAAATGCATTGCTATTCGAAGGTTTATTCTTTCCCATAATTTCAGGGTTTTCAAGACCCTTTTCAGGGCACATATCTGTTTGAATATTTCCTGATTTAAAAGTACCCTTCAAAGATTCATTAAAACTCTTCCCGATTAATCCATGAAATATTTCCTTAAATTCATCTTTATAAATTTTGAAAAATGCCTTCTCTTTAGCAAATGTACTTATCACACCCTTACCAGTTTCCGATAACAAAGCTCTTTCATTCGAATCTTGAGACTTGTATATTATATTTTCAATTATATGAATAAAATTTGGGAAATCCTTTGCGTATATGAACCCTTGATCGCCATTATCCAATTCGCTCCAAGCTATATCTAAAATAATAGAAGATGAAGATTTATCTGAATCCATTGAAATAACAACGTATCTATAATTATTACTCAAGTTCAATTGAATTGAGTCAAGTTCCTATAAATTCTCTTGAATATATCGTACTCACTAACCTCACTTGATCTTAAAAACTTTAATACATTTTTGATAAGTTTTAGTTTTAGATTTAGTTGCAGTTTTTAATTTCGTGTTGCATAAACTCTTGAACTTTTTTAGATAACCGCGTCAAATCAAAATTTGAAAATGATGAGAAACGTCAGAGTGAACAGAATGGACAGAGAATGTTTGATTGAATATGTTATTGAAACGATTCTGTACTATTTGTAATTTATCTCTGATAATGTTATTTGAATTTATATATATATCAGTTACTTAGAGAAATATATATATTCCTTTAAACTTGATATAAAAATTCAAGTGTAAATTTATGTTTTTTTGCTATTTCGAAACATTTCCTTTTCATTGTAGCCAGTAGAGTAGTACCTAATTGTTAAATGTTAAAATGATGTCATCTCTCTCATTTGTCATCAAAGATGAAAGAGATACATTGAGTTATATAAATTGCCAATATAATTTACAATAGGTATTTGTTTATTGAACTCGTAGCTACAGTTGGTTATTGTTTTACTCTGTTTAACCTACAGAGTGACGAATTCTAAACCGTGTGTACGTATATAATGATTCACATGTTAAATATGGTTCACTCTAAATATTTCCGAAACTTCTAATTAGGCACATTTATATAACTGAAAAGTTTAAAGAAGCATAGTGAAGAGGAAGTTGTATATAAGAATAATACCAGGTTAAGGGATCAATACATTTATAGATTGGTAACTGAAGTAATCAGAAGAAGTGTGTTACTAAGTTCCGCTGAATTCCTTTTTTCTGAATTCCAAATATCTAACAAACACATTATTTTTGCGTTATTTGAAGTTCCTATAACCAGGTTTTAAAGAACCTTTTAATCAAAACTTTCAATTAGACACATAACAAGGTAATATACAATGGGAAAGCCAAGCGATATCCCCGATCCCCAATTGGATGATGAAGATATCGAGCATATACTAAGGAATGAAGATGAACTTTTTAATCACGGTTTAATTGACTTGGGCGATAATGAAACTGTCCATGAGAAATCAAAACGTATAGAAGACACCACTCCTGAAATAGAAGATATTGTGAATCCAAGTAGTGATTTCAATGCAATGCTATCGCCATTACAATACCAAGATGAAGAAATTAGGCCGGAAGATATCAATAAACAAGAGATGAGTACACAGCTAGTACGCAGACCACATACACCATATGGACTTTATCAAAATATGATGGGTAATAGTGCCCAGCAAGGTGGGACCACAACTGGAATATCCAATGTTCCAGGAACTCCGACATCAATGCTACCTAACGCATTGATGAAGCCTATAAGTACCCACTATAACGGAGATGCAAGTGCGAACCTAATTGGGAATAAGATAAGAGATGCAATTAATGGACAAGGTAGGTCAAGAACAGGGACAAATAGTGCACGTCGTGGACATAACCAAAAGACTCGACCAACATTCGTGAATAAGGTGTGGAATATGGTTAATGATGATAACAATGCAGAACTGATACGATGGTCAAGTGATGGCCTGAGTATTGTCATTAATAATCGAGAAGAGCTAGTACGAGAAATTCTTCCGAAATATTTTAAGCATTCCAATTTTGCATCATTTGTCCGTCAATTGAACATGTACGGTTGGCATAAGGTTCAAGATATACGATCTGGATCTATCCAAAATAGTGTAGAAGATAAATGGCAATTTGAGAATGAGAATTTCATAAAAGGGCGTGAAGACTTGTTGGAGAACATAGTAAGACAAAAATCTCAAACCAGTCAAGGACAGGGCCTTGCGAATGGACCTCACGGCACACGTAATATACAAGATACAATTAATTCAATTGCTAGCTCGTTAAATTTCAACAGTAACCTACTCTTGACAGGAAACGATAGCAACAATGGAGATAAAACAAACACCAATGGCCCTACAAGTGTAAACGTAGCAGCATTATTGGGTGAACTAGAACAATTAAAATACAACCAAGTGGCAATTTCGAAAGATCTTTTAAGAGTGAGCAAAGATAATGAAATGTTATGGAAGGAGAATATGCTTGCAAGAGAACGCCATCGTAACCAACAAGATGCATTGGAGAAGATACTTCGTTTTTTGGCATCCTTAGTGCCTCATATTGATCAAAAGATGTTAACCGACCGTATTCTTTCTAGCACTGGCAATATAGACGATGCCGCAACGAACATGGCTGGGAACATTCCTAGTAGATTTGAAGATACGACTGGATTAGATTTGAAAGGCAGTGATGCCACTAGTGATTCAATTTCAGGAAGTCTGAACAATATTAATGACTTCAACAGTAATATTAACAATTTCAAGGCTGGTACAACAATTACTACAGCTACAGGAACAGGAAATGCATCGAGAACAATGCCAACTGGAGAAATGCTTCCTAATGACAATATCAAAGGTTCAGGTTTTGGAGGACTTGGTGGTATCAATACAAATATAAATAACAACATCCCAGGTATCGGTGGCAGTGGTAGCGGATTAACTCCATATGAAACTGCGCTTGGTGAAGGCCATGAGTTTCCATTTGAACTAGATTCATTACATGATCCATCCGTCGAGACCTTTTCACCATTAGATGACGGCGGCTTCACGAGCAAACCAAGATTCCTGTTGAAGAGTGGATTAAGTCCTGGAATTATTTCCGGAGAAGGATTGGATAGCGGTGACAGTAGCGGAAGAATCAGTGAAATTCCGTACCACGAATCGGAAACTGCTTCTACTGCGTCCGCTACCCCACCTTTACTTCCAGAAATACAACAACAGCCGCATACTGGAATGGGAATGGGAGCAAACGACAAGGATGATCTAGAATTGCAAGATCTGGAGAGGTCTATGGAACGTGCTTCAATTCCACCATTACATAATTTCGAAGGAATAGTAAACGAACTTTCGCCTTCAATAGAAGATGTTGACGTTGACGTTATTAACACTGATAAGAAGAATGGTAACAGAAATCGCGGTAAGAGAAGCGCTGAAGAGAACGACGATTCCATGTTATCTACATCCAAACGCCCCCACAAAACATCTAAATAGGTATCTAAACTAAGCATTTACATAGTGAACTCAAAGCATATCGAGTCTTTGCCCTAACCAGAAAAGACCTTTCTTAATTTATTTATTTATTTAGTTTCTTTCTCTATCTAAAACATAAGATCTGTAATATTTTCTCAAGTGTTTGTTCCATTCCATCCCTCTCTGTAATGTTCTTTCATGTTCTAAAGACCAAAAGATTCGCTCAGAGCCATAAGAAAAGAACCAAACCAATCCATACATGTATTACTCGTTGCTCAAGTTATTCATTCATATTGAATTTTTCAATTTTGTTTCTCTGGTGAGATGATTTGATTTGGTCGATGCTCGATGGACGATGCTCGATGGGGCAGCGGTCTTTAATTAGCTGGCCATTCTCTCCCTATCTCCATATCTATAGTTTCCCCTTTCTGTTCTCTCATCTGGTCTATCTTAAAACAATAATTATACAAGTTTTTCCGCCCCCGCATTATATGATGCTATTGTGAATGAAGATATGCTTACCTAGACGTTAAAGATTTGTTGTGGCTGTTCTGTGTACAAAGTTGAGATTCGATATGATTGGCTCCGAGTTCGGGGATGCTGACACACGGCAGTGGGCTTATTGGCCCAAAGTTTAAAGTTGGTCTGTTGCAGGGGGGATTCTGTCTCTTCCGTAAGTAAGTTCAGTGGGAAAACCAAAGAAGGAGCGAGCGGCTCTTGTTGATGAGAGACCAAAAGGAAAACATGTGTTTTTTTGAACATTACAATTAGTTAACTCCGGGTGTATTATTACCGGGGCCAGAGACAACTGAACGCAGTGAAAGTTGGAAAAAGATTGGAAATCTCACCTAGTCGGTCTGAAGAAGGCCTTCTCTGGCAATTTGTGAGTTTCAGATAGTTTGTTTCCGTTCCGAGAAAGACAGAACAGAACAGAACAGAACAGAACGGGTTCAGCCAATGAGGTTGTGAATGGGTTTACCTTGAGTTTGAACTGAAGGGAGGGGCAGGGGGAAACAGTAGAAAGTGGGATGTTGGGAGGCGGTTTATTATTCCATTGTCGTGCGTTGTATTTATTGTATTGTTAACAAAAAGCAGAGGCTCTAAAGCCGGGGTATTCCGGTTCCGATGAATCCATATACAACTAATTTTTCTTTTGTTCCAGTGTTCTACGATACCTTGTCTGTATTTTACTATTTATTTCTCTCTCTCTCTCTCTCTCTCATCCAATCTTCCAAGTTTTCGTATTAATAATTCGGTATTAAAGATTACTATTAAACAAGTGAGCTGGTGCACCCATATAGGAATGTCGTGAAATTAGGAATACTTCTTATGTGTGTGTAGAGGGAAGAGAGAGAAGTCCTCGAGTAGTTGTTTGGGTTCAATTTCGTCGGATGGGAGTTGGGGTTCTGGAGGTCAAATGTCCTGATCGCTCAGAAACCACTTGGGAATGGGATATTGCAACTCTTTCCTATTCCGTATCGTTCTTTGTTTCTTTTTCTCCTTCTGGTTCATTTCCTTGCAAAATCAGTTTGTACGTGTACGTGTACGTGTAAGAATTATTAACTATTAATCTTGAATATATGGGGTAGGTAGCGTATACTGTCCGTGGGCCGTGCCCTCCCCCCCTCCCAGCGCCACCCCCGGCATTGACCCCAATTTTGTCTTTTTTGATACGTTACTACGACAAGTTCTCTTCTGTTATAGCACATACCCCATACTTGTTGGCTCTTTCTTTTCTCTATCTCTTCTTTTTAATGTGTGTTTTTTACTTTTTTGTATAGTCTATGTATGGTAAAATAATTTCCCCCATGTTAATTTATCTCTATTTTTGTCTTCTAACAAAAACTATATAAAGGGCTAACCCATATGGCTTATACAATTTTTGTCATTATTTGAATTTTATCCAACTTATATTAGTTTTCAGTTTATTCTTTTTTCTTCACTTAGATTCACAACCAAAAATAATTGCATATGCTTTAACGCACTCTCAACTATACTTTCATCAAATATTCAATATTCAATAGTTCATATTCAATATTCAATATTTTTAACATTTTAACATTCAACATTCACAGATATATATTACACAATAATGGGTATTCCAATGTTCCTCTACGAAGAGGATAACAACAACCATTTTAAACACGACAGTGGTAGAAAGAGATCTTTACCACGCTCCGATTCAAGTTCAATTCCTCGTGTCGACAGCAAGAGATTGTTGACCGAGTTCTTCTGGAGAAGACAAAATAATGTAAGATTTGTAGACGAACAATTGAAAAATTCGTTGCAATCATGGATCAGCAGATCTTCTTCCACTTCAAACAACAATATGGCTAATGTACGTATCAATCATAACTGGTCTATGAACAGATTGGGCAGCACTGGCAACGATGAATTGAACGAATTATTGAAAAGTAGTGTCCTAACTGACGATTTGAAGTCTTCAGGTAAAAATAATTCAACTCAATTCTGGATCTTCCATTTGAATGACTTGAACAAGATTGTTATTTACGATTTTATCAAAAATTCATTGTTCCAAATTCATTTGTTAGATTTCATTCAAATCCACGACATCGTCACCTGTATTGATGCTCGTTATCAAGACAATGATTCTACTTTGGTAGTTACCATTGGTTTAGGAAACGGGGACTTGTATTACATGACCTTTGATGGCGATTCCAATATTAGCAATTTGAAGAAATTCAATATTGCAAACAACTTTGCTATCTCAGATGTATCTTTAGCATTATTCAATGAATTGAGATATGTTGTCTCTTTTAACAATTACCACGGTATCATCTTAACAAATGTCGACTCTTCTTATAATTACTGCATTCCATTATCCATGGAATTCGAACAAGATTTGAAAGCTGTCATCGATTTCCCCCAATTAACAGTTTTCAACAGTTCCAAGATCTGGCATTTCCCAAATGTTATGGATTACATTGGAACAGATATGACTGACAACAGCAGTTATGTTTCTAATGAAGTCAAGGTCATGTTGAAGCCAAATGAAGTAATCAAGGATCTATCCTTATCAAAGAAATTGGGTTCTTCAGTGGCACCATTGTTAATGGTCGATACCAATCAAAGAATCTTATCTATTTCCAATTACGCCAATGATATCAATCATTTCGGAAATGATGATTCAACCAATTGGTATAAGAATACCCACACAATCTTGTACAAGAGTTTATGGAACACTGACAATTATGAAATTTCACATTACAATAAATATGCAGTTGTCTCCAATCATCATTTGTATGACACAAGTGTTACAATCTACGAACATTCTCCAATTAGTGATGAATGGATCTTTTTGGGTTATTCTGATATTAGAGCTAAATTCAATATCAAAAGAGTCAAGAACCTTTCTATCACGAACAACTGTACTATTAATTTGTTGTCTGATACTAATGAAAATTATCAGTTCAACATTTCTACTTTCCAACAAAGAGCATGAGTTCTTTGCTGCAATCTCCAACCTAACCTTCTCCACACTCAACTCATGAGCAAGAGCAAAAATTAAAAGACAAACTAATCAGAACAAAAATAAAATTGTTAAAAACGATTACAAAAGTAGTTTTAACAATCCTGCATGTCAGACACTCAGCTAACTTATGATCTTTAGCGAGTTTCACAGTATTAATAACATTTATACTATACTTTTATATATTTAAATATTCTATCTATGTCACATATAATATCCTTAATGATGCATTAATAATTAATGAATGACGCATTTCTTCTCTTATTGTAATTATTATTAAAGCTATTTGTTATGAAAGCTGTTTAGGATCCGATCTGATATGGCTTGGCTTGGCTTGTCATGGCAGCGTAATATATATATATCAAATCATGTGACCACGGTTACTACCAAAAGAATCAAATCAGAATGTAAAACTGACCAGACCATAATCGTTCTGTTCTTGCCTACCTGTATCAGTCTAAGTCTCTTTTGTCAGTTTGCTACCCTACATTAACATCACGTGCACAGCAAAGACAATAATGAACTTCGAAAAATACCAAGAAAAGAAAAAGAAAAAAAAGAAAAAAAGAAATACACCTGCATCGCTACCACCCACGCATCTTTACACCTCACCACTGAATACATCTTACAGTATTTGCACCCGGAAATACCACACACCACACCCAAAAATGCACAAGCGTCCACCTAGACTCTCTTCTCCCTCCCCCTCCAACCCGCATAATATACATTTTAGCCTCATCCACTGCACCACACCGCTTTCATCTAGATATACTCAACTCTGCCTAACTGAACAATGACAAAGCTGATGAAGTTGATGAATTTGATAAACCATCACCTTCACCATCACATCTTCAACGTCATGATGTAAAACTTCACCAAATTCATTCACAATGATTGAATATGAAATATTCATTTCTCACTACCAACTATCCATGTTGGCCGAAACAATACTCAAAGCATTAAATTAGTGAATACTCTCTATCTCTCTATCGATATTGTATTCAAAATATACAGTGCTTCTCATAATACTTATTTGGAAATTTCGATGAATCTCATCTCTAGTTGTAATTATAGTTATTGAATAATTTAAAGAAAAGAATAGTAATAGAGAACTCGAGAATAGAGTGAAAAAGATCAGTTTAAGCAACCGCTTGTATTATTGTATTCAATACCAGTTTTAATAGATTTAGTTCAAGAAATATATATTACAACTTATTTTTTTTGTTTGTTTGGTACGTTTCATCAAGTCCATTGTGTCAATGTGGCTATACTGAATATACTGTCTCACTTCCATTGTCAATACATATAAAATTTAAGATATTTAATAACATTTCTACATTTAGGAAAATCATCTTAAAAACTTCGAAATACAACATATCCTGGGGTTATTAATTGTTCATTATGGTCTCAGAAAAAGATATTATATGGAACCCTATAGTTCCTCTCTCAGAACTTAATCAAGATGATACAATAAATGAAAATAATACTACTAAAAATAATAAAAATCCAAAACCTAGCGATACTTATATTCATCTAGATCCAATACCAGATTTTCAGGATACCTCTGAAGTCAAGCCCTGGTTACAAAAAATTTTCTATCCACAAGGTGTGGAGCTCGTTATCGAAAGATCGGATAATACAAAAGTTGTCTTCAAATGTAAAGCTGCAAAAAGAGGCAAAGGTTCAAGATTACCATCTAAAACAACAACAACTACTAATAATAATAACAATGATGATGAAAATGATGAAAATAGCGAAAATAAAGAGACTAATAGCAACGACGATAAAAATAGTAATGTTATAAATGATGGATATTTAGATAAACCAAAGAAAAAGAGAGTAGTATCGAGATTTAATACCTGTCCATTCCGTATAAGAGCAACTTATTCAATGAAAAGAGGAAAATGGAATATCGTAATATTAAACAATAAACATTCTCATGATTTATCGTTCAATCCCGATTCAATAGAGTATAAGAAATTTAAAGAAAGATTAAGATTAAATAATGATGTCGAAGCAATAAAAAAATTCGATGAATTGGAATATAAAGTACGATCAAATCTACCTCTGAGCCCTTCGTTAGTGGTTTGTGATTGTGGGTTAACAAGTGAAATTCAATCATTCGATGTGGTTTTACCAACAAATGACTCTTTAAATACAAATATCGTCGATCTATCAAATAAAAATTTAGAAACAAATTTCAACCAACAGTCTGTAAATGTTAAAAAACCAAAAAAATTGAAAAATGTAAAGTCAAAAGCAACTAACTTGAATATACATCAAGAAAATTTGTTGAAAAAGACCACTACCCAAAATTTTTTAACTAATCGCAATGCAAATTCTCACCCTCAGCCAATTCCCTCATCTTCACCAATAACTTCAAATAATATTCATTCAAATATGCATTCCTATAATCATAGTCATAGTCATAGTCATAGTCATAGTCATTCACATACTCATATGAATGGTCATACTCATACCCATAATCACACAACACCTCCAGTTGAATCTCTAGATTTGTTGCAGCCAGATACTTTCAATTCATTGACTTTCTCAAAGTTAACCACTGATTTAGATGAAATCGATTTCACTGATATATTCAACAAGCCTCTATATAATAAAAATCACAATCATCATCATCACCACCATCATCATCATAATTTTGAGGATAATAACAACTATAATGAGTATAATGATAATGATATAAACTCCCATTCATCTTTATATTCACCAATTACCAATGGAGGAACTCCTAAGATGTTGGAAAGTGATACAATTTCACCAAACCCAGACTTATTTCCTTCTCAATACGAATTACAGCATAATTACAGTTATTCAAATAACCAAATTTCATCACCTTTAAAAGATTCACCATCACATTATTCAAATATGGATTTTACCCATTCTTATCTTTCCACAAATAATAACTACAAGAAATATTCAATTACATTATGTGAAAATAATAACAGTAATATTTGTTATAACGATGAATGTATCAAACTACACGATATACAGCCGATCAAGAATGAGTTCATAGGCACACAGTCGTTGAATTCACTAAATGAACAAGCTAAAGGTGAATATGATCCAATGCATTTAATTCAGAAATTTATGAATACATCTAACGATGATAATGTCATTAAAAGTGCAACCACCGGAAACGCGGTTTTAATAAAAAATGAGTTAGATTTAACGTCTGTACCATTGACATTTGACAGTGAAGGTAATCATATAACTTTAGATAACATTTCATCTAGTCAACCTAAAAGGAAACAAAATGAATCGGGTAATTCAAATCTCTCTGATCTTTCAACTCTAATACCTAACAATCAAGAAGCATTCCCACAAGTTATAAGTGATATAGACATAACTAATTACAATTTTGAAAGTATTAACACTACTAATAAAGCCATTAATGGTAACACTAACACTTCAATCCAAGATGATAAAGGCTCATTATCGCCCTCAATTTGGGAGAACACATTCGATGATATTTTGTAAATAAAGTTACTGCATGAAGTAGATTAATTAGTTTATTAAATAGTTAATCTTACATATAATTTATAGACACATTTTATTAATTTTAATATACAAAATATTTACCATTTTATATTGCTGTATCTTTCAATTTTTATTTTTCCATTTTTATATTTTGATTTTGGTTATTTCATTAAAGTCAGGTACTCATTTTAAACTGGGCATATACAGATATCCATATATCTCGAGTGTATGAATCTATACATACTCTTATTTTTAGCTTATTTTTGTATTGTAAAAAAAAATTCTGGTTTTGCTTTTGATTGTATTTTTGGTTTATAAATGCTAATAGTACAATTATGAGAATTGAGTTCTCTTGTTCTTTTGATCTGATGTAAAAATATGAGAACAACTTAAACAAACAAAGAAAAGAACCATAGAAGTGTCCTTTCTTCTCTGTTGCGATTGAAAGAATACATTATCTCTAGTATGACATTTCGGACACTCCCTATCAGATCTCGGTAGTGTAGGATCAGAACCAATATCTTGCACAACACCTGCAGTCTCACCAATATTCGTAATCAATTCATGTCTATAAACAAGTGAACTACCTGCCTCTTCCACATATGAACAAGTTCTACATTCGAATAACAATCTCATGTTTTCCTTGTCCTCTCTAGGATAAAGCATATTATTACAGTCACGACAAAATCTAAAAGTAGTCATTTTGAAATAGTCCTATATATCTGCAGTTATGCCAAGTTGTGGTCCTGATAGTTGGCTTCAACAACTGTTTTTATCCTTCTTTAGTCTTCCTTAAACTAGCTTTTTCAAATACTAATTGTTGTTAATTTTTCTTCTTTTTTTCAAATTTTTGATATTCGAAATGGGCCCTCACTAAAGGCCTTTGGAAAAAAAATATCAAAAAGAAGAGCCATCCATAATTAAGGAAACAAGAGATGAGCTGAAGGAAACGACAGTAATTGATCTTTTTGAAACAATTATTAATTCATTAAAACTATATGACAAGACTACATATCAGGTAGATAAATTGTGGGCAGATAAAATTGTTATTAGATGAAGAGAGTTGTAGATAAAATTGAATAAGTTTGTTTTTTTTAATTTTCTTATCGATTTGATTTTTGATACTATTATTGTATTATTGCTCTCAAGGACATACCTGGATGCACTGTTGAGACAGGAGTTCTTAAATGAATGGATATGATCGTTGGTTATGTGATCACGTTTGTAAGTGATGGGGATAGGAGATTCAATAAAAAAATTTACAACATAAAAATATCATTTGGGTTAATGATAGATGAATGGGAGGAGGGATGGGAGTGGGTTAATTTCATTTGAATTTTAAAAATCTGTAAAGTATTGAACGTATGGATCTTCTCCTTGTATACCATAATCTAATTGTTCTTCTGGATATTGGTCGAATAAAGATGAATCACCGACTTCCGATTGAATTGGAGGTTCATATGGAGTTACTATATCTTTTGCAAGTAGTTTTGACCAAACTACTTCACTGAACCATGCATGCGATTTTATATCTTCTGCTCCACTCTGCAAATTACCCAGTCTCCTTGTCAAGTCAGCTGTGATCAGTCTTGCTAATAAATCTATCACATCAGGATGGAAGAAGGATGGATAATTAACTTTACCGTGTAAAATTTTTTCGTATGTTTTCATTGGTGTAGTATCATAGAATGGTGTATACCCTGCTAGCATTTCATATATCAAGATACCCAATGACCACCAATCAACTGATTTATTGTAAGGTTTGGTTGCTATGACTTCTGGGGCAATGTAATCAGGAGTACCACATAAGGTCCAGGTGACAGTCGAGACTTCTTTGGCAAAACCAAAATCTGTAATCTTTATATGACCATTCCGGTCTAGCAAAATATTTTCTGGTTTTAAATCACGGTAAATGATATTATGAGAATGTAAATAATCAAGCGCTAATATTACCTCAGCAGCATAAAACTTTGCTACAGGGTTTGGAAATCTTTGTGACTTTCTCAATAATGAAAACAATTCACCACCTTCAATATAATCCATAACCATAAACAAATTTCTAGAATCTTGGAAAGTACCCCACATTCGAATCAAGAATGGATGCTCTACTATTTTTAAAATTTTTCTTTCATCATTTGTATGTTCAATTTGTTTCATTTTAAAAATTTGTTGTTTCTTCAAGACCTTAATAGCATAATATCTTTTATTATGAACCGATCTAACCAAATGAACTCTACCAAAGGAACCGGTACCTAAGGTTCTCATTATTTGAAAATCTTTTAAAGTGTACTTACCCTTTGATACAGAAGACCGTTGAAACAATAAAGATTGATTATAATCATTGGTGGATGTTTGTCCTTGTTGCGATTGTTGAATATTTGGAGCATTGAAATAGTGCTGTTGCTGCTGTTGATGTTGCAACTGTTGTTTTTCGTCGTATTTCTGTTGCTCAAATTGTTTTTGCAACTGTTGTTCCTGAGTATCAATATCCATTTTTATTTTATTTTTTTCAAATCAGAAATATTTCAAAACTGTAGCTTCCTTCTTGAGTCAATATATTTTAATTAAACTTATTACTTGAAACTTTAGTACTTGAAAAATACGCCTAAAATATGTTTGTATTTTATTTTATTTAGTTCCGATTTAATCGAATCTAATTTAATTTACTTGATGTTTTCCTTTAACCTTTTGGTTTTTGTATCCGTCTTCAGTATAAGTTTTAGTCAATTTCTTAACAAATTACAACGTAATTGAACAAAATTATTGAAACCTAATTCAACTTCTAGTAATGTCAAGTGTCAATTCACCAATGCACACCATTATTTACTGTTAAATTGAATAAAAATACTTCAAATCAACGATAAAACTAAATTAATTCTGGTGATAATTGTTTTATAGTGGGAACCCCTTTGGAAACTGATTAATATTGTTAAACTTAAAGGTTTTGGTCACCCAAATCACCATCAACGATTGACAGTTGTAGTAATGGTAATAGTAATAACTATAGTAATATACATATAAAGTGTATAAATTCTAACTGTTAAAATATATATAACGAGATGTCTATATGAGATGAGATTAAATGAAGGTACGATTGATGCCACTATGGATAAATTATGTATGTATGTGTGGTGAGAGCTATAACCATATGTCTTGACCGTTTGGTTGTTGTTGTTGCTGCTGTTGCTGTTGTTGCTGTTGCTGTTGTTGGTCATTACTGTTATTATCGTTATGATGAGGAATGATATAGGAATTATTAATGTTATTGTTTGAACTATGATTGAAGTTGTTTTGAGGTGTGTTGTTGTTGTTATCGTTATCCGATTGAGTAGTTTGTAGTATTGGTTGAACGACATTTGATTGAGAATCAGCAATGGTTTTCTGTTTTAGTTTTTCCATTCCTTTGCCAATGGCCTTTAATAGATTTGAATCTTCGACAACGGTATTATTGTTTATAGTCGTTTGTTTCTTGATTTCTTCTGGGCTAGGATAGTGATTGTCATCTTGTGTTAAATAATAATGGAAATGATTTGAAAAATTCTTCATTGCCAGTAGTTTGATCTTGTTGAAAGAATTATTCTTGTCTTCTTTAGATTCTGCACCACCTCCAGCGGCTGTAGTTGATGCAGATGCTGCTCCTGTAATGTTTGCTGCGGAACCAGTCGCAGCTGAATTGCCTGAACCGTTGTTATTTATGTTATTATTAGTATTATTAATTGCATTATTATTAATTGTATTATTATTTGTGTTATTATTAGTGTTATTAGTAGTAGTGGTGGTAGAAGTAGTTTGACGTTCGACCATGGCCTTTGTATAACGTAGCATTGTCCAGTCAAAGAGGTGGTCATTATGATAATCTAGTTTAATGGATAAATCTTTAAACAACCTGGCCAAGTATAAATAATCTGGTCTTTCATCGAATTTCAAATTTTTACAATATGAAATGTATTCTGCAAACTCTTGGGGCAAACCTCCACATAAAGTTTCTATGGAAATCGACAATTTTTTTTCTAAGATTCTATCATATTTCTGTTTTTTAGTGGTTGCCTTTAGACCTTGCCAAGGCAAAGAACCTTTACAGAAATAAATCAGGACGTAACCCAATGATTCCAAGTCATCTCTTCTACTTTGTTCTATCCCTAAATGAGTATTAACACTAGCATAACGAGCAGTACCTGTTAATGATTTATTTTCTCTATAAGGGATATGACGATGAGTGTTAAAATCTCTATATTTTTTGGATAAACCGAAATCGATGACATGAACAGTGGAGCCTCTACGACCGACACCCATTAAGAAATTATCTGGTTTGATATCTCTATGAATAAAAGACCTGCCATGAATGTATTGAATTCTACAGATCATTTGCAAAGCCAACATAATAACAGTTTTGAAAGAGAACTTTCTATGACAATAGTTGAATAAATCTTCTAAAGAAGGTCCCAATAGGTCGATAACCATAGCGTTGTATTCACCTTCTCTACCGAACCATCTGACAAATGGTATACCTACACCACCACTCAAATATTTATAAACTCTCGATTCATAATCTAGTTGAGGATGTCTTGAACGAATACTTTCCAATTTAATAGCTACTTCCTCACCACTAATTAAATTAGTACGTGGTAGATATCACCAAAGGAACCCCTACCAATTTTTCTTCCAATACGAAACTTTCTACCTACTCTAAATCCCATTTTTATATTTTTTATTTATTTATTTGTCTGTTTAATTTCCTATTTTCTGTTTTCTTCTCCCTTACGTGTATTGACGTGTATGTGTATGGCAGAATATATGTAAGACAATGGATGAATATTTGTATGAATTCAAATAAATCAATTGTCAGGTTCTGTCTTGTGACTAGTAGTAATAGCACAGTATAGTATAACAAAATAGAACAAAACCAAAAAAAAATTAAAAAAAATTTTTTTTTTTAGAAAATATAACCCACGAAAGCACTAGAACCTCTAGAGATACACCAGTCCCAACAATGTTTAACCAGTAATCAGTTTGATTCCACAAAGTGTAAGGTAATAAGTAACAATACAACCAAACCTGACCAAACTAGAATATAAACATATATCAATTTATATCAATATATATGTATATTTACTCAATAGACAGAGTTATTATTGTTGTTTGTTGTTGTATTCTCTTTTCTCTCTTTATAACTCTTCATTTCTTTCCAGTTTGTGTTTTAAAAATTTTTTGAAATCATCAACGGAGACGATGGGCGATGTTTCTTTAGACGGTGTCACGTGACGGATGTAGTATACACGTTAACTGTCTGTTGGGGGGGAGGGGGGGAACAGACACACACTCATTCGCTCACTCTCTCTGTCTGTTCAGATTATGGCTCCACTATTAACAAATTTAATGTCGGTTTGAGAGCAGAGATTATGGCCATGGGTGTTGAAACTGAGGATGTCAGCAAGGTAATGGTTTCTTTTGGGTCACCTTTACGAAGGGGCTTGTGTATTTCCGGGTAATACTGTTGCACCGTTCTCTGCCACCTTATCACGAACAACAGGCACCCAGCAAAAAATATACATGAATACATCAACTACATACATACACATATACACAATTGATACCATTTACAGTCGTCATTGTCTCTTCATTGAGATCACATCACTCTCTTTGCCTTGATGACAGCAAAAAAACTGATATACCCTTATATGCCACTGCCTATAACACGATTCCATTACTCTTGTCATGGCAATGATTGTTATAGGAGTTCATATATATTTTTTATTTTAATTATTGATTTTGTTTCAACAATAAATCTAGAATTTATTCGATCATCATCAGATATCCATCTCTAGAGATAGTCCTCACTACTCATCCAATATGTTTCACAGCTTACAGTTCATCCTTCATTAGGCAATTGGCTTGTCTCTGATCTTATATATGTATCACGTGATTGTTCGTGCAACACGATATAAATTGACGATATCTCTAAGGTTTAATTCTCAAATCTAAGCCCAAATTCTCACCTTACACACCAAGTTCGACAATTCAAAGCTTTAAAAGAAGTGGCAAAACCAATCTGTAACAACTCTTTTCATAAAGTTACGAGGTTGAAGTATACACACATTCAGTTAAGGGATCCAGATATACTAAGGTGCTCGATTCGTTGACATAGATAGAGAAAGAGAAAGAGAAAGAGAAAGAGAGAAAGCTTACAACTAAAATGGAGAGATTACAGAGACTTATGATGAACAGCAAGGTTGGTGCTCCTGATGCCAACCGTGACGATACAAAAGAAACCGTGTATATATCGTCAATGGCATTGCTGAAAATGCTGAAACATGGTAGAGCTGGTGTTCCTATGGAAGTCATGGGGTTGATGTTGGGTGAGTTTGTAGATGATTATACCGTTAACGTCGTAGATGTTTTCGCTATGCCTCAATCAGGTACTGGTGTATCTGTTGAGGCTGTAGATGATGTATTCCAAGCGAAAATGATGGATATGTTGAAACAAACAGGAAGAGATCAGATGGTTGTAGGCTGGTACCATTCACATCCTGGGTTTGGTTGCTGGCTATCCTCTGTGGATGTTAACACTCAAAAGTCCTTCGAGCAATTGAATAATAGAGCAGTGGCTGTAGTGGTAGATCCGATTCAATCTGTGAAGGGTAAAGTTGTTATCGATGCCTTCAGACTGATTGATACCGGTGCCTTACTGAATAACCAGGAACCTAGACAAACTACTTCCAATGCAGGTTTGTTGAACAAGGCTAACATCCAAGCTCTAATCCATGGTTTGAACAGACACTACTATTCCTTAAATATAGATTATCGTAAAACTCCAGCAGAAACCAAGATGCTGATGAATTTACATAAAGAACAATGGCAATCTGGTTTGAAGATGCATGATTACGAGGTGAAAGAACATGAAAACTACGAAGCCACCAAGAAAATGGTAAAGATTGCTCGCCAATATTCAAAAAGAATAGAAGAAGAGAAAGAATTGACAGAGGAAGAACTGAAAACAAGATATGTAGGGAAACAAGACCCAAAGAAACATCTATCGGATACATCAGACTCAGTGCTGGAAGAAAATATCGTTTCTGTACTCAGTGCAAGTGTCAACTCTATTGCCATCAAATAAAATAAAGTAAAATAAACAAAAATAAGAAAAAATGTCATTAGTCAATATTTAATTATATATGCATAGTCTACCTGGTTCTAAAAGAATGTCAATATCTACTACAACTTCTCCAAAAGTTAAATTATATGCTAAGAGTACATACAGTTGGTTTCATTACAAATAATCTTCGAAACCTGTCCTGTATCTACATCAATTGAATCCGGAATATAACTCGAAACTTTGAAAATTCCGAAACAAAAATTGCTTTCATATAACAAAACCCTACATAATCTTAACCGATCTTTAAATGTTGTTGTTGTTCACTACACTACGCTTCACATACGTTCAACTGGTTGCCATCATTTGTTAATATCAACTTCTGTTGGTTCTACCAGTGTTGCTATTGGATATTTCTCAATTGTGTGACAACTGACCGAATATAATTTTTACTGTCAAGTGAAAAAAAAAATTTGTAGTAATAGTCAGAGAGATGGCGAAGAATGGATATGATATATACTTTCTGAATTTATATTTTATTTCGAACAATGCTTAATTATTTGATCTTAAGAGATCTTAACAACAATTGGTTTACTAAGTATCTGATATATTATATAGATCATCTTGTTGTATTCAATTTTCTGAATTCTAAAGTATTTTTACAGACACTTTATTCTCTTTTCTTTATCGTAAAGCTTCTAAAGGTTCAAGTCAAGATTACATCCAAAAAAGTTTAGAAACAAGATGGCCAATTCAGAACACAGAAAACTAGCTGATCCAAACTACGTTCCTGAAAGTATCAGAGGCAAGAAGTATCCAGCAAAGGACCATATCCTTAAGGTTAAAGATATTTTATTATCTAAGAAGACCAACTTGAAAGATTCCGAAACAGCTGTTTTCATTGCTGGTGAAGAAGTTGAAGGTGTTAAATACTGTGATGGTACTAAGAAGTTTAGACAGAATCAATACTTTTACTATTTAACTGGTGTTGATATACCAGGTAGTGCATTGTTGTTTAACTTCAAAACCGATAAGCTAACTTTGTTCTTACCAAATGTCGATTATGAGGATATCATGTGGAGCGGTAAGCCAATAAGCTTAGAAGAAGCTCTAAAGAAATATGATGTTGACGAAGTTTTATATCATGATGATTTGAAAGCCAAATTAGACCAATTGAAGGATTTTACCATTTTCACTACTGATAATGACAATGTCCATGACGATTCAATTAAGGCTAGATTGACTGCGTCCGACTCAGATTTCTTTTATGCTCTTGATGAAGCTAGAGTCATTAAGGATTGGTACGAAATTGAAATTTTAAGAAGAGCTTGTGAAATCAGTGATAACTCGCATTATGCTGTCATGTCAGCTTTACCAATTGAAACTAATGAAATGCATATTGAAGCTGAATTTAGCTATCATTCAACTAGACAAGGTGCTCGTACTTTAGGTTATGATCCAATCTGTTGTTCAGGTCCAGCTTGCGGTACATTACATTATATAACCAACGAAGACGATGTTGAAGGTAAAAGTTCTATATTGATTGATGCCGGTGCTGAATGGAGAGGTTACACCAGTGATGTGACAAGATGTTTCCCAATTAATGGTAAATTTACAAAGGAACATCGTGAAGTTTATGAAACTGTTTTAGATATGCAATCTCAAGCTATGGAATGTATCAAACCAGGTGCTTCATGGGATGGTTTACATCTATTGGCTCACAAAGTATTGATTAAGCATTTCTTGAAAATGGGTATCTTCAAAAAGGAATTCTCCGAAGATGAGATCTTGAAAAGAAGAGTTTCCTGTGCATTCTACCCTCATGGTTTGGGTCATTTCCTAGGTATTGACGTTCATGATGTGGCCGGCAATGCTAACTACGAAGATCCAGATCCAATGTTCAGATACTTGAGAATCCGTCGTACATTGAAAGAAGGTATGGTGGTCACTAATGAACCAGGTTGTTACTTTAACGAATACTTGTTGGATGAATTCTTGAGAAAACATCCTGAGAAATTGGAAGTTGTTGATGAAGCAATTTTGTCCAAGTACATGTACGTTGGTGGTGTTCGTATTGAAGATGATGTTGTAGTTACAAAGGATGGTTACGAAAACCTGACTAAAATTACCAGTAATCCTGATGAAATCGAAAAGATTGTTAGTGATGGTTTATCAAAGGGCCGTTCTCACTTTCACGTTGTAGTATAGTATTAGTTGAGAATAATGACATTTTAATTTATATACTTTAATAAAACACGATAGTGAATGAAAAAATAACATGTAAGTTTATACTTATACTCTTAGGACTAAATAAATTATCAGTGATCTCCCTCTCATAGAGAGTAAGTGTAAGGTCAATACCGTTAATGTACTAAAAAATTTAAAAATAAATGCGAATTCTGTGGATCGAACACAGGACCTCCAGATAACAGATGATTTGACCGAAGTTAATTCTTCAGTCTGGCGCTCTCCCAACTGAGCTAAATCCGCTTATTTCTTGAAGTGTGGAAAGCTAATTATTCTACCAGACTCTGGAATTAGGTACAGGAATTTTTTTTTTGAAAAGTGTTGTAACCCAAAATGTATCTATAGGTTCCCAGAATATTCATATCACATGATATATGATATTTATTGTCCTAAGTATATTCAAAACAAGGATTATTAATAACATCTGGAAATGTTCTGTCAATTGCATTGACAGTGATTATTATGATAGATTGCAATTGATCAATCACGAAAAATGTGTTGTAACCTAAAATGTATGGTTTACACTAATGGGTTTCAAGGTTATGGCATTAAAGGTTATGGCAGTAACGGTTATGGCAGTAAAGGTTATGACAGTAAAGGTTATGACAAATTGCAATTGATCGATCACAAATGGCATACTCGACCTTCTAAGTAATTGCCAAATCATATCATAAGAAGTGAAGTGCAAAGGCATCATAATTTATTATCATAAATTCATAATATTAAGATTATGAGATTGGATCTAGACATATAAAAAGGCATGACATTTTGGCACATCTAAAATATTGTTTATTCCAAATATTAATATATATTTATTTAGTTACAATTTATAAGACACTACGGAGAAATAAATATAAATATTATTGTTGTAACCTAAAATGTATGGTTCACACTAATGGGTTTCAAGGTTATGGCAATAAAGGTTATGGCAATAAAGGTTATGGCAGTAAAGGTTATGACAGTAAAGGTTATGACACGTTGCAATTGTTCGATCGCAAATGTCATACTCGACCTTCTAAGTAATTGCCAAATCATATCATAAGAAGTGAAGTGCAAAGGCATCATAATTTATTATCATAAATAAATAATATTAAGATTATGAGATTGGATCTAAACATATAAAAAGGCATGACATTTTGGTACATCTAAAATATTGTTTATCTAAAATATTAATATATATTTATTTAGTTACATTTATAAGACACTACGGAGAAATAAATATAAATATTATATTAAAAACATCTTGTATCAATCACCAAAATGAATCAATCAGATATTACTTTTACATCTGAACAATTATATTAAAAACATCTTGTATCAATCACCAAAATGAATCAATCAGATATTACTTTTACATCTGAACATTTATAATTATATATATATATATATCCATATTTCCCCCTAAATCGATAACCCATACTATAGCTATTTAGTCAAATACTTTAGGTATAGACCCTAGCCATACTTATCTCTCACCTGCTAGTACCATTGGGTACATCATGTTATACGTCGAGAGGTCCAAAACTGGAAGTTCAACAAAATCATTTAATACGTTGAAAATTGCACGTGCATTACAACTCTGACTGGGCTGATATCTTAATCCAAATCATTCAACAAATACAAGCCTTGTTGGCGCAATCGGTAGCGCGTGTGACTCTTAATCACAAGGTTAGGGGTTCGAGCCCCCTACAGGGCTTTCTTTTTATTCGACTCGATAAAAAGTCGTTTAAATAGTATATTTTTTTTAAATAATGCCGTCTGCCGAATGGAAAAACAGAAAAAAGGGAATTCACGTGGAATAAAAGATAAATCGGAAACAAATCAAAACAGAAAAGAAACGAAAAAAGAAAAAAAGTAAAAAACCGAAAATATAACACGAAAAATAGGTCAATGGAGTTTATCGTAAGCTAAAATAAGATGCGATGAGGTGAATTAATATATAAATTAGAATTGAATCTTATGTCTAAGCCTTTTCTTTTGTTTTTATGGTTACATACATTATTCAATTAAGAGTATACATATACACATATATATAGTACGTCTAAAAGTTTAATTGAGAGTAGTCTAATTTTATTCTAATTCTAATTATAAGAAAAAAGGAAAAAACACTCAGACTGTGAAAAGAAAAGAATATATCGTCCCTTAAATTTTGTTCTCTTTTCTTTTGATTAATTAAATAATAATGAGAATAAGAGTGAAAAATGTCATTTCAAATTAAAGATATACCAACAATTCCATACAACGATCAGAAACCTGGTACTTCTGGTCTTCGTAAAAAGACTAAAATTTTTATGAGTGAAAAGAATTATACTGAAAATTTTATTCAATCCATTTTAAACTCAATACCAAATGGCGTAAAAAATTCAACAATCGTTGTCGGTGGTGATGGTCGTTTTTATAATGATATCATCCTTGATAAAATTATGCAAATTTCTGCGGCAAATGGTGTTCGTAAATTAGTTATTGGTCAAAATGGTATTTTGTCAACTCCTGCCGCGTCATATATTATTAGAAATTATAAAGAATCTTGTAATGGCGGCGGTATCATCTTAACTGCGTCACATAACCCTGGTGGTCCAGAAAATGATATAGGTATCAAATATAATTTATCTAATGGTGGTCCAGCTCCTGAATCAATTACTGATGAAATTTGGGAAGCTTCAAAACATTTAACTCATTATAAAATTATCGAAAATTTACCACAATTAGATACCACCAAAGTCTCTGAAAATGTTAAATATGGCCCATTATTAGTTGATATTATAGATAGCACTAAATCTTACGTCGAACTAATGAAAGAAATTTTTGATTTCCCATTAATTAGAAATTTTATTCATACACAACGTGAAAAGAATAATTGGAAATTATTATTTGATTCATTAAATGGTGTCACCGGACCATATGGTAAAACAATCTTTGTAGATGAACTAGGATTACTGGCTGATGAAACATTACAAAATTGGCATCCATTGCCTGATTTCGGTGGCTTACATCCAGATCCAAATTTAACCTATGCACACACTTTAGTAGAAAGAGTTGACAGAGAAATGATAAATTTTGGTGCTGCTTCAGATGGTGATGGTGACAGAAATATGATCTATGGCTATGGTCCATCATTTGTATCACCTGGTGATTCCTTAGCAATTATAAGTGAATATGCTGACGAAATTCCATATTTTGCAAAACAAGGCATGTTCGGTGTTGCAAGATCCTTCCCAACATCAAGTGCTATTGATCGAGTTGCAAAAGCTAAGGGACTAAACTGTTACGAAGTGCCAACAGGCTGGAAGTTTTTCTGTGCATTGTTTGATGCTCAAAAATTATCCATCTGCGGTGAAGAATCCTTTGGTACTGGTTCTAATCATATTAGAGAAAAAGATGGTCTTTGGGCAATTGTTGCATGGCTAAATATCTTAGCAATCTACAACAAACGTAACCCAGAGAAAGAAAGCTCAATTAAGAATATACAAATGGATTTTTGGTTAAAGTACGGTCGTACTTTTTTCACTCGTTATGATTATGAAAACTTAAGCTCTGAAGATGCAGAAAAGGTAGTCAAATTATTAAAAGATTACGTCTCAGATCCCCAAACCTTGAATTCTAGATTCCCAGAGGATGATAGTATAACAGTAACTGAGTGTGGTGACTTTGAATATACCGATTTGGATGGCACTGTTTCTAAAAATCAAGGATTATATCTAAAGCTTTCCAATGGAGCTAGATTTGTCATTAGACTATCAGGGACCGGATCTTCAGGAGCCACACTAAGATTATACACAGAACAATATTCGAACGATGAGACTAAATATAACTTGAGTGCTGAAGAAGTACTAAGTCCTGTAATTTCGCCAATAATTAAGTTTTTAAAATTTCAACAATTCCTAGGAACGGAAACTCCAACAGTCAAGACCTAGTCGAATTCGAATAACATAGAAACGACCCTGCGACGCTCCTCACTCTCAACAACAAATTAAGAGTCTAATAGCAAATAAAAATAACTAAACAATGATATATAGATTATTTATACAACGACATTAAACCTCAATAGCTATAACTCATCTTACAAGATACTCATCCTTTTTGGCTGACTTCCTCTGGCCTGTAACTCAACATTGCAAACGCAATATACTCCAAATAAATTGAACCAGAACCCAGAGCAACTCAACGAATCGATAGCAACACCTAACATCTTAAATCTTCTTAACCAAACTGGTTTGCGATTGTGTTGATTGAATTATATACCATACAATTAATTATCTTAGTTTTAACCTATTTCCCTCCTTAGCTGATTTCGAATTTTTCTACTCGGCTTTCTTCTTGATCAGTTAATTGATTGGTACCTCAATTTTCAATATTAGCAAAAATTAGGAATTAGTGAAATATTTAGTATCAAATTTAAGTTCAAGAGTTTAAGATTTTGAAGTAATGACTAAGAATTGTTCTCCTATTTTTTTGCAAGGTTCAGTTGATTTGGATTTAACCTTGCAATTATAATTATAATTGTATTCCTATATACATATATTTATATATATATATATAAGAGTCGGAAGAATTGGGTTGAATTATAAATATAGACTTCGTAGCTTTGGTATTTCTTATAAAGCTTTTTCACTTAGTTTAAACGTAGAAAGATTTATGGATAATTAAATAGTATTTAAAAATCCAACTAAACCAATAGAAGGTATAAATAAATCGATTGATAAAGGTTTAATTCAGGAATATATTCAAGAGAAACATACATATACATACACATACTTAGACAAATACGTATTATTATTTGAACAGTGAAATGTATTCTTGGAAATCAAAGTTTAAGTTTGGAAGGAGTAAAGAGGATAAAGAAACTGATAAAGATGGTAGATCAAGTTCAAGTATATTCCATTTAGGTCATGAAAAGAAGAATAGCAATGGTGCAATTTCTGAAAACAAAAGTTTAAATGATAGTAGTTCTTCTACTAATTTTTCTAATCATAGTAATAAAAATTCTTCAAGTGGTGATATCCCAAGTTTATCAAATACAACTTCATCTCACGAATTCTCTTCAGATACTTCTACAATTAGAGATTCAACTGGTGGTGTTGGTTATGATGATAATTACAATTCTTCATCTAATGAAAGATTAGGTAACTATTCAGATTTATCTCATAATTCACCTTCAAGTTCGGGTTTAATGACTATAAAAGTTTATAATGGTACCGATTTCATGTTACCATTCCCAATTACTTCAAATACGCAACTTCTTGGGAAATTGTTACGTTCAGGAGTCCAAGCTCCAGGATCTAATTTAGTAGATGTAAATGATTTGATTTCACAATTATCAAGGATTAAATTAGAACAAGATGATGCCGTCGACGAAAAGATGATATCTGGTAGTAGATCTACTAATTTCATCCCTGCAACTATAAAATTACCGGGTTCTGAAAACTTAAATCCATTGCTATATTTCACTATAGAATTCGATAATACAGTTGCAACTATAGAACCGGAATGCGGTACTCTTATGAAGCCTATTTTCAATAAAATTTCTGCATTCGATGTTACTAGAAAACTACCAAGTTTAAAAATCGATGTCTTTGCAAGAATTCCTTCAAGTTTGTTACCATCATCAGTATGGCAACATACTGCAGGTGCGAATGATGAGAACCTAAAATCACTATTAGATAAAATTAATTCGAACCAGGATATTCATATTGATTCATGTCGTGTACCAATTAATTTAAATATTAACTCAGCAGCCAACGTAAGAATTTATAACCACCATTGGGTTTCATTTGATAATGGTTTAGGTAAGATCAATATTACACTAGATTATAGACCATCTAAGAACAAACCTCTATCAATAGATGATTTTGATTTACTCAAAGTCATTGGTAAAGGATCATTTGGTAAAGTAATGCAAGTTAGAAAAAAGGATACACAGAAGATTTATGCATTGAAAGCGATTAGAAAAGCGTATATTGTATCAAAAGCAGAGGTGACACATACACTAGCCGAAAAGACTGTCTTGGCTAAAGTGGATTGTCCATTTATTGTTCCATTGAAATTTTCATTCCAATCTCCTGAAAAATTGTACTTAGTGTTGGCATTTATAAATGGTGGTGAATTATTTTATCATTTACAAAAAGAGGGTAGATTTGATCTATCAAGATCTCGATTCTATGCTGCAGAATTATTGTGTGCGTTAGAGACATTGCATAATTTGGATGTTATCTACCGTGATTTGAAACCTGAAAACATCTTACTAGATTATCAAGGTCATATTGCATTATGTGATTTTGGATTGTGTAAATTGAACATGAAGGATAAAGATAAGACTGACACATTTTGTGGTACACCAGAATACCTAGCTCCAGAGTTATTATTAGGCCAAGGATACTCAAAAGTTGTTGACTGGTGGACCCTTGGTGTGCTATTGTATGAGATGTTAACAGGCTTACCACCATATTATGATGAAGATGTACCAAAGATGTATAAGAAGATTTTACAAGAACCATTAAGATTCCCAGATGGGATTTGATAAAGATGCGAGGGATTTATTAATCGGACTATTAAGTCGTGATCCAAAGAGAAGACTAGGATTCAATGGAGCGGAAGAAATCAAGAACCATCCATTTTTCAGTCAATTATCTTGGAAAAGATTGTTAATGAAAAGGTATATACCACCATACAAGCCTTCAGTTAGCGGTGTATTTGATACAAGTAATTTTGATCAACAGTTCACCAAAGAAAAGCCAGTGGACAGTGTTGTTGATGAATTTTTAAGTGAAAGCGTTCAACAACAATTTGGTGGATGGACGTATGTTGGGAATGAACAATTAGGAAGTTCCATGGTTCCAGGCAGTAGCATTAGATAAACAAAACGAAAACATACAGAGACAGAGACAGAAGCATTATGAACAATGAATAATTTTACAAGACATTAGAAAGCCAGGGGGAGGGGCTGGGGATACAATAGAACAATAGAACAAAAGAAATCAAAAAAACAGGGACTCTAGATAATATACCTCTAAAAAAAGATCAATCATATCCAAGAACCTTAACCCTATTACATAGTAAATATATATTTGTATATATGTGGAAATCAACAATTTGTTCCACTAAAAAAAGAAACAAACAGAACAATTTTTATAATATATATATTACCCACCAATATGGTATACAATAGACAATAAAATCAATTAAAAGACAATTACAATCCCATTTAACCCCCAAAACCAATATTGAAGTTCCAAACAATTGTGAAACTTCAATTCGATTTCTTCTTATGCGTATTCGTATTCGTATTCTTATTCTTATTCTCGATTAATCCATCCCCAGTACATTCCATCTATTACTGTTTCCATCCGTTTCCTGTGACGATTGATCTATAACCTCATCGCTTGCTTTTTCTAAACTTATTTTTTTTTTTTTTTTTCGCCTACAGTAGAATATCGAATATTGTAGAGGTTTAAAAGTTGCAGAGCGCAGCTGATATAAAAGAGAAGGCCTGAAAAATTTTAATCATCTCTAAAAAGAGAGATGACCTTTTAGCAAAAGTTAATAATTTTTAATAGAATAGTTATATAACAAGGAGCATACGTACTTACACACACATATTCATATACATATATATATATATAGGTATCTCTTTTGTGTTTTTAGGTTAGGTGGTTTTTGTTTGATGTTAAATTTTTCACTTTTAGCTGATTAGTGTAAGAAAGGAAGAAAGTGAAATAGGAATAAGCAGAGAATAGAGATATACTTATAGATATGTTGGCTTTTGAGAATAGTAAACGGCCTGCTCAAAATATTGGGAAAGTGGTAGAGTCTAAGAAACGGAAAGTAGAGTTTGCTGATGAGGTTGTGTTTCAGTCACCAAGTTGTGAGGAGAGTGATGATCAAAAAGTAGCACAGACCATGTACCGTAGATTTGTTTTGTCTGCTCTGGAGGATCTTGAAAAGGTATGTTCTGGTTTGATTTAGTTTGACTTGGTTTGATTTGTTATGTTTTAGAGATGTTTGGTAGTAAATGACAGCTTTAATCAGATTCAATTTAGAGAAACGAAAGGCAACGAATGAGCTTTTCTCTTGATTTTGATTCTGATTTTGGCAGTTCTTTATGATGATCTAAAGTCCATGGACATTAACAGTAAAAAACAAAGTTAGAAATTGGGATTTCAAAAAAATACATCTTTTTATGATACTAACATTACGATTTTAATTTTTTTTTATTTTATTTTAGAATGATTCAACTCAAGTTGATATTATTGCCAGCAAGGTCAACTTGCCTTCAAAAAGTTCAGACAGAGTTAACCTTGATAATTTTAAAATTTTATTAGAAGTATTATCTGATAATATTAGTAGAATTGATAACTCTAAAGGATCAAATTTAATTCAATCAATAATTAATTTTGAAAAGTGGTGGGAGTTACCTGAACCAATTCTAGGTAAATATATATTCTTTATTAAAATTTTATGTTCAAGTTTACCAAGATGGTGGCAGGATGTTTCAATGGTGATAATTGTATGTTTTAACCTATCCCCAGAAAAGACATCATACCACCATGAAATGCTAATGTATTTCTTAAGAATGATACCCTCTTCTGTAAGTTTCATAGATTCTTATTTGTCAAGATTTTTCCCAAATAAGAATGATACCCGTAAAAATTTAGTGAATTACATCTCAAATATTTTAACGCTCACAAGTTATTGTAAAGAGTTGAGATTTCAAGCATGGTCTCTGTTGATTGAAAGGGTCATTTCATTGGATGTAGAACTTCAAAATGAACTAGATGAATTAGACGATGATATAGAAGAAGATTTTGAAGAAGAAAGTGATGATAGTGGTGAAGAAAGCGAGCATGAGGATGAAATAGGTAATGACGAAAGTGATGATGAAACAGAAAATAAATACGTGGGCATCGAAGCTTCTGTCGAGGTTTATGAAGATGAAGATGAACAAGAAGGTGATGAAGAATACAATGTTGAAGTTTCTCAAAGCATCAAAGAGTTAACTTCAAAATTGGATGCTATCTTAACTTTGATTAGCAGTCGTTTAACTGAAGAACTAACACCAGAAAGTATAGAATCAGGTGATGGTGTTAATATTTTTAATACATTAACAACTTTGTTTAAAAGTCATATCTTACCAACATACTACACTAGATCTATTCAGTACATCATGTTTCACATTTCACAACAACAAACAGAGTTAATGGATTCATTCCTAGTGACCCTAATAGACATTGCATTTTCTCCAAATGAGACATCCGAAAAGAAGGTTAAATCATTACAATATTTAGGTTCCTACATTGCTCGTGCCAAACATTTATCAAGGACTCAAATTGTGTTTGTCGCAAGCTATTTAACATCATGGTTAAATCGTTATCTTCTAGAAAGAGAAGATGAAGTTGATCAACCTGGTGGTATGGAAAGATTCAAGCATTTCTACGCAGCTTTCCAGTCATTATGTTATATGTTCTGTTTCAGGCATAACGTATTCAAAGATGTCGATGGTAAGTGGGAGTGCGAATTGGATAAATTTTTCCAAAGGATGGTTATCTCTAAATTCAATCCACTCAAATATTGTAATGAGAATGTTATGATGATGTTTGCGAGAATAACACAACATGAAGGTATTGCCTATTGTTTTGGTATAATTGAAACTAACAATAACGAAAGACTTAGAGGTATTATTGGCAGGTCAGCTTCAGATAAAGAAGCTTCTGGAAGTCAATCAATTTCTCAAGCTTCTACATGGTCTTTGATTACAAGACAACAATTCATCGATTTACAGAGTTATTTCCCATTTGATCCATTATTATTAAAAAATTATAAATCATTAATGAAGGAATATTATATAGAATGGAGTGAAGCAAGTGGTGAATACGAGAGTGATGAATCCGATGATTAAATGAACATTATTATTATTATTATATTTTTTTTTTTATTCCCCCTCCCCCAAATGATTATAGATCCATCCCAATGCATTAAGTTTAGCCTTTATTTTATTTTTTTATTTATATTTATTTTTATTGCATCAATTGCTAATCTTATTTAACAGTTTAAAATTTATTTTATTATACTTACTGATATGCTTATGAAGATATTTCAACAGAGTATACTTAGGGAGTTCTATCATTACATTTTTTTTTATACATAAGTTATTAAGATTATATTATACTATATTATATACATTTTATCTTAATGGCCAATGATCGAAGTCATCACAATGACAAAACAATTTAGATAATATACAGAACTAATCTTTCAATCATGAGAGTTTGGATATATTTTATTACTTTAAATATTATAACTAACGTTTTTTCTTACTTTTATTTTTATTTTTATTCTTATTCTTCTTATTTGATTTTGATGATTGCTCATTTGAATTCGTGGATTGATTTTTTATAGATTGTGGAACATATTCTTTGACATCAGTATTTGTCAATAGAGTACTTATGCCTACTATATCCTTTATTTTAGTAAAATTTTTAGTTTTCCCAATTTTTTCAACTTTATATTGTTTCAAGTTTGATGAGTTTTTCACTTTCTTGTTAACTTTGTTCATTGATACAGTAACACCTCTTGGACCAATTGCACTTAATAATCTTGAAACATCTTTACTTTTACAAGTTTTAAAGTTATAATTTGAAGATAGATGAGAATTGTGGGTATTAAACTTAACTGTACAGTTGTTTGAATTTTTTGGGAATTTATAAGTTAATGAGAATACAGTTTGTGATGGGTTAACTTCAAATAGCTTAACACTATTTGAAATATATGAATCAATAGGTTTAATTGACATATTTTTATTATATTTATTTAGAGAGGCTTGTAGACTAGAATTGCCCTTCTTTCAGCCAAAATGAACAATTATTGTGGACTGATTGATACAATATATGTATTTGACGATGATGAAGATGATCGTGAAATATCAAATATTATATTTTAGATACTATGTAATATAGTATTTAAGGTATTAATATGTTTAAAGAGAGGATTGTGATAGATAAAATGATTTAAACTACTTCATACAGAGTGAAACTAAGTTAGTACTCAAAATTAAATTATTATCTATCGTACATAATTTTTCAATTTGTTCTGCCTTGTTGGCTTTACGCTTGAATTTTTAATTTTTAGTTTTTTTTCGTAATTGGATAATTCGAAGTAGAGAAAGAGAAAGAAAGAGAGAGAGCGTGAAGTTTCAACTCGAAGGAAGCAGGGTAATAATAGACAAACAGATGTTCCAATGCTACTTCTCAGTAGAAAGTACGTTGATAATTACAACAGACAAATGAAGTAAGTTACCACCAGTCAGGGTGATCTGACCTGCCAGGAATAGAAGTAAACCAAAATCAGGACAAGAAAGGTTGTCAGCAAGAAGAGTATTTTCTTTACTTTTATATGTTTTCTATCTATGGTCTTGGGTGTCTCTCAATTTTTTCTCATTGTAAGTGACACAAAAGCTAAATTAAAAAGCCATTCAATTCTACACACATTCTTTTTTTTCTTTTTTTTCTTTTTTTTTTGTCTTTCACCGAACCTAGCCGCTGTAGCCCTTACGCTATGTTTACCAACTATTACACGTGACCATCTCATCACGTGAAGAAAAACAGCAATACCAATACCAATACCAAGACCGAGACCAACAGCAATAAAAACAATCGTGTTCCGATTTGCGCCAGTACAGACAGACAGAGAGACAGACAGAGAGAACTATACCAACCGGAACTGATCACCATTACAATACGAACAATCCCTTCCTTCTACCCTCTTTCCGTTCCACAGCTACGCTCTTTCTTGCCTCAATTCAAACAAAAAAAGAACATCCAAACGAGAAATCAACAAAAAACAGAAAGTACCACGGAGACGGAGACACACGCCCAGACTCTGCTTTTTATTTTTTTTCCCGTCCATCCCATTCCATTCGTGCCGTATGATATCTTATTCCCGTCACCCACCCAGTGCACATCGCCATCTGCTTCTTCTTCACCTCACTTCGCCAAACTCACCGAAATTCCGAGATGAGTGAAATTTACCTTTAAAGGTTGCCATACCCATACACTCACTACCGTACGTTCTCCTACTACTGTACTCCATTTGTATAGGTATTTGTATACTATAGTGAAAACACATCGATCGATATCTTAGCATATCACTATATAAGAATCAATAAATCAATAAATCAATAAATCAATTTAGCTATAATAGACTGATTTCAAAATTTATAGAATTAAAATATAATGTAATGTAATCAAATAGAGGTTTACACTATATACTATATACTACTGTTCTAATTTTAAATATATCCTTTTACAAAACAGCTTTAACAACTGTTGATCTGTCAAAAGTCTTATTAATAAGTGATTATTTTTTTTATTTCATTTCATTTTATTTTTGGATTTGGAATTTCGTTTGATAGCTTGTTCCAGTACACTATCTGATTTTGTGTGGGAAGCTAATTAGTGTTATTACTAAGACAATAAAGAATTTTTGTTGATCTCTGTGTGTAACTGACTGATTCGCCTTCATTGGTTATCTAGAGTAAGATATTAGGATCATATATCTCTTCTTGTGGTGTCATATCCTGCTTTTATTCGAGTTCCTGCCTACTCTGACATTACAATAGGGGAAAAAACTAATAAAGGCTTCAATTATAATACTAATAAGTTCTTTTTGCCAAGTTTATGTTCTGAACAAAAAGTACTGGTTATCGTACTATTCTTCTCTGTTTTCTATCTTTTTTTTATCACGTAATTGTGTTTTTATTTGTATGGATGGTTAATATTGAACATCTTTGATTAGCTCAAATTAGTATTCCTGTTTTTTTATTTATTTTTACTACTGCCACTACCATATCCATATTTTACCTATTTGGTCACATCTAGATCAAGACACCTTACTTTACTTCGAAGTGTTAGATACACACACACACACATATATATACACTCATATATATATATATGCTCAATTACAACAACTACAATAATAACAATAATGATTCAGAACTCAAAGAGAAAGAGTATCGTTTCGATAATTAATAGAAAATCCTTTTCATCTGCAAAAGATGTACCTGTAAGTCCAGTAGGTTCAGAGGATACTTCGTCTTCTCATCTATTGGATGAATCAGCAATATGGAACGATACTTTCGAAACTTCAACTGATGTAACAGAAGAAGAAGATTTTACCGCAGATTTACAACCTTTGAAATTTAAAATGAGCAGAGTATCTCCAAATTCAGGTTCTTCTCCTTTCAGCTATAAAGACCATTCAGATTCTTTAACAAGATTAAGAGAAAAATTTCAACGAAGTATAGAAAATGATGGTTATATAGGAGGAAACAGTTGTGTTTATTGGTTCAAAACTATAGATTTAGATTCCTTTGAAAAATACTTGAGAGAACCAAATTATATCAAATTACCACAAAAAAAATCCTTCATAAACAGATTCAGAAGATTGTTTTTAGCTCAAGAATTAAAACATAGAGATTCGCATCCTTTAGAGACGTCCAAGATTAGTAGACCAAGACAAAACAGCACAACTAACGTGTCCGATACTTCAAGAGCTATATGGAGCACTAAATTTAGTCCAGATGGTAAATACTTGGCAACCGGTAGCAAGGATGGTTCGATAAACATCTGGAAAGTAATAAGTTCTCCAGTAGATAGATGGGAATTAGATATACGTGACGATACTAATGTAAAAACTAAAAGCTCCTATAAACGACAACCACAGCAAAAGCTTAATAGCCATAGTACTAATAACAATATTAATATCAATAGTAACAATAGCCATGGACCTTTAAAAGATGAAAAAGATGATTCAGAAGGTATCAATCTTTACGCCCCTGTTTTTCACCCAGATCCAATACAATATTACAAAGAACATACAAACGATATTTTGGAAATAGATTGGTCTAAAAATGGGTTCTTTTTAACATCATCCATGGATAAAACTGTTAAATTGTGGAATATTGAAAGACAACATTCATTAAGAACTTTCAATCACCCTGATTTTGTTACTTGTGTTAGAATAATACAATCAGATGATAGATTTTTTATCAGTGGTTGTCTAGATCATAAATGTAGATTATGGTCCATTTTAGATGATACAGTAAGTTTTGAATTCGATTGTAACGATCTAATAACTTCTATATCACTTTCTCCAGATGATTCAAAATATACTATAATAGGTACATTTAATGGTTATGTATTTGTACTCAAAACACATGGTTTAAAGTTTGTTTCATTATTCCATATTACAGATAAACGACCATACAGAATAAATGAACGAGATATTCAAAATTTTATGAAGGGAAAGAGGCATAATGGTCCAAGGGTAAGTGGAATTCAATGTTTTAATAATATTCAGGATAACTCATTACGATTGTTAGTGACATCAAATGATTCAAAGGTTAGGATATTCGATTTTGCTACTAAAAAATTGTTAGAAGTTCTAAAAGGATTCAATAGCGAGTCTTCTCAACACAAGGCAAATGTATCAAATCTATATGATCAACAACTAGTTTTAAGTAGCAGTGACGATCATTGGGTTTATGGTTGGCTTCTAGAGACCTCCGAATCCAAGAAAAGAAATAGCATATATGGGAAAAACAGCAACTTAAAGCAGACTACAACTCGTAGAGATAGCATTATTAGTGCTGGAAGTGGCGGTTCACAGACAAGACAGGAATCACCGCCAACAATGAGAAGATCAGGAAGCATTAAACAGTTTTTGAGAAGATCCCTAAGTTTATCAGATCGTTCCGAAGAATTTAATATGTCTGAGGATTCAATCGATTCTGAAATCAGCGGTACTCATCAGAACACAAATCAACAAAAACAGCAACAACATCATCATAGGCATTTGCATTTATCTAATTTATTAACAAGATCTGGAACATTTTCTGACAATACAGTCAAGAACAGTTCTTGTGTTGCATTTCATGCTCATCATTTACCTGTAACAACAGCAATTACTGCCCCTTCTGGTACGGCCAAGATATTGTCCTTATCTAATGATTTGATTTGTGAATTGTCATTAGAATATTTTAAGGACGTAGCTAGTGAGGCTAATAACAAACTTTCAGAATTAGAAGTAAATAGGTCTGATTTAGGGCGTCGCTCCACTACATCATTAAAGCAAGTTCAACAGAATCTACAACCCGATTTGCCTTTAAAGAACACTGCCAACAGTGCATTGCCAGATATGGTGAAGGCTGTGGGTACTATATTAGTGACAACTGATATTTCAGGCTCAATCAGAGTTTTCCGTGTTGACATGCCATATGAGATTAGGAAATCTATATTATACAAACTAGAAAAGTATAAAGAGTGTTTAGCAGTGGGAGATGGGAGCATAATTGAACCACGAAGTTCTTTGACCAAAAAGGGAACGTTTACAAGAGGTACCAAAGGGTCATCAGCAACAGGAAGAGGATCGCCAATGAACCTATCACCAAAAATGCAACCACCACCTTTAAGGCATTCTAAATCAGAGGTTAACACTGCATCATTAAACCCGTATTCATCTGGAAGCGGTTCTCGACAACCGAGATCTAGTCGAGTATTTATAAATTCGTTATTCAATCATTCTAGTACAAGTCTGTCATCCATGAAACAAGGGAGAAACAGTACATCGACAATGAACTTGAACCAAAACAGTAATACTACGATTGGTGCCAATAGTGACGTAGAAGGGGAAGGGATTACGATGTATCCCAAATGTGCGTACAGGTGCGCTATTTGCAATGGCACCAACTTTGATACTACTAAACAAGGGAAAGGGGAAAATGGTGGACCACATCAATTAGAATACTATTGCACTGACTGTGGTACACAACTAAACAATTTCCGTTGAAAATTGTACATATCCAATGGAAATAAAATTAACGATTATATTTATAATAACAAATAATAAAACAGGTATTACATAAAAAAATAGGGAAAAAATACAACCGGAAGAATAAGGTAGTCATTTATATGACATCATTATATATGGATATATATATATCATGTTTTAAATAACAATATTTATATATAAATATGCAAAAGCATCACTTGCATTTCTCAGTTATGAATCCACCAAGACCAATTCCAGTTTTATTTATCTGTCCCATATATCGATGGGACTATTGAACATTAAACATTAAACATTAAGCGTTTAGCCGCTGTGAACAAGCCAAGAGAAAAGAAATAAAATTAGAAATAAACCACCATCAGCGGTTAAACAGAAAAAAGAAATTATCTAACTAGCAATGGATAGCACATCACCAACCTGTATTTTATTAGATCCGTTCTAATTGACAATATCCGATTGTCGCAACCGTCACCAGAATACGAATTGATGGAGAACCAACGACTCTGCACCGCATCGCATTGCATTGCGTCGCATTGTCCGTAGTCCGGCCATTCCCACCCAACAGCTTCGGAGTTTATAAGCAACAAAGGGAAAGAAACAGGTGGAGAAGTTGTGTATGTGTGGGGAAGTGTGCATTGCATTGCCTCTATTGCTATCCTACAGTTGTTTGACTAAGGGTGTTACTCATGATAAGTAAAAAAGGACAAGGACAAGGACAAGGCCAAGGACAAGAGCAAGAGCAAGAGCAAGAGCATAGATGAATCAGACAAACAAACAGACGTACAGAACTACAGGTGGCGCCACCACAATTTTTTGCCTTTCCCCACCCGCCCATGTGCGGCTAACGTTGTCTGCTTTTAAGTAAACCTCTCTCCGGAGAGTCCCTGGGCGCCATACCTAATAAAACATAACATAACAAATGATCGATATTGCAGATCCTCCTGGGAAAAGACATTTTCAGGGAATTCCGGGATCTTGGTTTTCTCACACTGATTACTCTAAGATCTGAGGGTCTGAGGGTCTGAGGGTGCCATTCATAGGTAATCCTTAAACTGTCGCGAAATAGGCCCGGAAATTAGGGGAATGAGGGGTTGGTGCAGCGGCTATATATTCTTTCAATATATGTGTCTGTTATTGCCAGTACGGTTTTGGGTAATAATACTTAAATTCGAAAGGTATAAAAGGGGGGAATCCTTTAAATGATTTTCTTTCTTTCTCCATTATCCACCAACTTTTTTTATTTTTATTTTTATTTTTATTTTTATTTTTATTTTTACTTGGTCCATTCTATTCTATTTTGTTTTTATTCAACTGAATTTTGGTTTGGTTTGGTTTATTTTAGTTTAATTCAGTTTATTTTGGTTTTGGTTTTAAATTTCAATTGTAACAGATAATGACACCAAAGTTATCCTGTTCTGTCAATTGTATTGCATCATATTTTTATATTTGATTGATTGACTTCGGTATATAATTAATTATATTTATATTTTAGTAGTTTTAGCTTTACTTTATTTTATTCAAAATTTATAGATATTTCATACTTAGTTATTTTATTTTATTTTATTTTATATATATTATACGCATATACAGTACTTGTATATAAATTTATACTGTTCGGATAGTCACTAGACATATACTGTTTATATATTTTTTTGTTTTTTACTTTGATTTTCAGTTCCTACTACTCCATCAATTTTTTTTATCTTTTGTTTTTTTTAATATTATAGAACCATTCTATTTTATTTGGGTTTTTATTCTCACTATCACCGCCTCATTTACAATTACACCCCCTCTCCCCCTCCCATCCAAATTTCTAATAGCGTTACACAACATATAATAAATATACAATTCAATTTATTGACCTATTGTTATCACTATCAAAAATGACAACTATATCAAATAAATGGCATACCACACTGACTGATAGAATTTATCATCCAATTATAAATTTTAAACATTCTATATATGGACAATTCAATGTGCAAAAACAAAACCTGTTTATTTGGATCATCAATCTTTGGCTAGTTAGTTGGTTAAACAGACAACTTCAAAGTATAATGATTAATATCATTAAAACTGGTAGAGTACCAGAACATATCTCGTTCATCATGGATGGTAATAGAACTTATGCAAAAAATCTAAATATGCCAATTAAAAAAGGACATGAAGCGGGAGGTATCACTTTATTATCCTTGGTCTATGCTTGTAAGAGAATGGGAGTTAGATGCGTTTCCGCATATGCTTTCTCAATAGAAAACTTCAATAGACCAAAAGACGAAGTAGATACTTTGAATAATCTGTTTGCCGATAAATTAGATGAATTCGCTATAAGAGCTAAGGATTTCCAAGATCCTCTATATGGGGCAAAGATTAAAATTGTCGGTGACGCTACAATGATAGGCGACGAAATGAAGAGAAGAATTAAAAGAGTAGAAAAGATTACTCAAGATGGTGAAGATTTTATTTTATATATATGCTATCCTTATACTTCACGAAATGATATATACCATGCAGTCCAAAGATCTGTTGAACAAACTTTAAACAATGAAATTTCAAAAGATGAAATTACCATTAAACATTTCACTGAAAACATGTATTTAGAAAGTTTTTCAAATAGATGTGATCTTTTAGTCAGAACTAGTGGTCATAAAAGATTGTCAGATTATATGTTATGGCAAACTCACGAAAATGCTACTATAGATTTCCATTCAGGTTTATGGCCAGATTTTACTTTCATCAAATTATACTTAAAATTAATAAAATTATCCCTTTACATGACAGTTCAAAATTATTATGAAACAACTTTCTTATCTTCAGAGCAAGTTCTAAGGAAGAAAGCAGAATATTATAATAAATGGAGAGGTAATATTAACTTAAGTTCATTACCTGAACCACCCCCAACCATTTCAATCGTTGGTAGAAAATCTTAAGAAAAAGATCATTGACACCAATCAATCATCTAATCTTTTTATTTACCAATACTGACATCAATATCAAGTTTAATTTTTTCCCTTTTGTTACTCCATCATTAATATTATCAATATTAAAATAAACTGCATTCTATTTACTAGATTGGTTAATGATTGACTGACAGAGTATTGTCTCAATCATTGAATGAATTGTCGCTTCATAATATTATTAGATTCATCGCTGGTCAATTTGACATTGTTTTATTTGCAACATCATCAAAAATCATATGCGAATAGATTTATTTATTTATATACATACCATTTAAATCGAGATATTCAAAAACTTATTTTAATACCATAATTATAATTAATCATCCGTTTTTTGACTAGAAATTTTAATATATTCAAAAAGTAAATATTGTTCACTCTAATTATTGTCATGCTAATGCCCATTAAACCTATATATAAATGAATAAGTAACTACGAATGTATATAATATTTATTATCAATGGTCCCACCTTATTACTAGAATACAAAGTACAGAAAAAAACACATTGTAACAATGTATGATTCTTTAATTATCTTTCGATGTCATTTAAGTCGTTGATATCGAATACATCATTGGTTCCTTCATTATTTTCGTTCCCTATATTAATAAATTCAGCTTGGATTATATTGTTGGTAGTATTCGTCAATATTCTGTCCGTATTCATTGTAATCGTTGTGTCAGTATTATTGCTTTCTGTCACCACGCCCAAATTACTAGTTGATGCAGCTTCGCTATTATTGCCATTTGGTGTATTTCCTGTTGTATAAGTTGTACCATTACTTTGAGTTTTTGTACCAACTTCATGACACCAATATCTATGAAATGTCCATGCTTTTAACTGACACTGGCGACTACAATATTTTGTCCTTTTACAACGACGGCATTTGGCAAACTGCCTCGGAAAACTTTCCCATTTACCACATTCAAAATTTGCACATTGACGAGTACAAGTAATTTCATTTTTCCTACACGAATTTCTCATTATTACTGAACTCCAATATATCATGTCATGTGGATTTTCATTAGTTACAGTAAACCTTTCTACCAAAGGAAATAAATTCAATGGAAATCTAGTTATGATACTTATCCATGTTTCTCGTGTTAATTCTTTAGATATTTTTTTATAGTCCCATTTCTGTTCAAAACCTTCCCTTAAAGTATTTTCTTGAACTATTCTATCCGAAGAAAATTCAACATTGGGTTCTTCTATACTATAAGCCTTATATGGATTTTCTAATTCAATATTTTTATCTCTCTTCGAATCCTTTTGAAGGCATTTTAATTGAGTTTCTTTCAATTCCATTAAAAATGGTTCATCGATATTCATTGATTTTAAACTTAAAATATTATATGCATCTTCCATATGAATGTCAATAGGTGATATAGGTATATTCGGTATAATATTATTATTAATATCGATATCGCTATTTGGATTATCATTTTTATTAATATTATTATTGTTTTTTGAACTTAATAAATCCATTCTCTTTTGAACTCTATCAATTATTGATCTGAATGATAATGAATCTACTAAATTAACATTTTGTAATTGTTCTTTCATATATGTATATTTTGAAATGAATGCCAGGAGCTGAAGAGACCAAATGACATCATCTTGTTTTGGAATAATTCTCCCCAGGTAAAATTCTCTAGGAACCGAAATTAGAGGAATATGATCAGAGTTTGTACGAAAACAATTCTCGAACTCTTCATCATTAGATGAATTGTTTAATTTTTGTGATTTGTTCAAAGAAGAAACCAAATCACTTTTTAAATTCCAAATATCTGAAAAATCTGATGGAGAAATTTCAGTGGATAATAATAATTCTTCACTTTTAAAGAAATTCTCCAATTCTTCCTCTGTTTCGAATGTTTCTCCGATAAGATACGAGATGTATTGCTCGTAAGTTTCACTGGTATCTTTCTTTAGCAACATATATACGTCTCTTGAAGTTAATGAATTAAAATCTAAGTGAATGTGGCAATTTCTAATGAAATCATAATTTTTATGGTAAATTAAATAATTATCCAGCACAGTTGCTAACAATGGAATTACTCCTGATGAAACTACTTGGTTTCTTATCTGTTCGGTTCCTCTAGTACCTGTTAATACGAGACATTGAAATGCTAATGTCCATTTCCAAGCATACATCGCCAATTTTTTTTCTTTCCAAATCGATCTTGCACGCTCATGTTTATTAATCTTCTTTAAGTTATAGTCCAGTATCTCATTCAAGTTCAAATAACAACAGTGAAGTATTGAAACCAATCTATCCAATGCACCGTCCTCAGATACAGTCTCACGCACTTTACTTGAATTTGAAGTCAAATAAGTCAAATGATTCAATGAATTTATCAAGGGAACATCTGAATTCGTGTCCAGAGCCCTTCGATCATACACAGTCGATGATATTGTAACCACTGGTTTATTCAATATAACAGATCGATGATTAGTTTCCCTCATCACGTCCTTAAATATATATATTTATATCACACCAAAAAATAAAAAAAAAAGACAATAAAAATACCAAAAATTAACTGAAATTTAAATTAAAAGCAGTACCATAAACCTTCTGACACTATTCCAAATTCTGCCAATACCTGTTTGTATTTCTGACAGCCTATAGTTCTCAACTTATTGGACTAGTTCTTGGTCTTTATCAGTTGAGCTAAAGTAAAATGAAAAGGCTTTCAAATTTGGACCTTTCTTTTACGATTTTTCTATAAAATCCCCAAACAACTGCAACCTGATCTCAATATAGACACTCCAAATACTCTGTTGGGCCTGTCAATACCTTCGATACCCTCAAGTTCTTACACTTTTATACTATATTTTATGCTCATTTTAACCTTTCTATCTTATTTTGTATACATTTTTTTATAATATATGTGTAATTTTTCCTAATTGTAGGAAATGTGACTAGTGAAATTGATCGATTATATAAAAGAAGCTGTATTAGCTGAAATGGTAAAGATTGGGATAATATACATAATAAATACGTGATAAAACTGATGGTTAGCTATTGAAAGAGCCCTTGAAGTGATGGTTTATAGTATCAATTGGGTCTATTATACATACTTTTACCCAATTATCACGAGATCCGGGTAAAAACCCTACCGATTTTTGGTATCTGAAAGACTTTTGATTGCCTTTCCCCTTCCAATAAATAGAAGTTTATAAGAATAATCAAGAGCATTACAATAGACTTTTGTTTATTTAAAGAGGTTTATGATTGAGAAGGAGCAGAATTGTAAGCATTTAGGTGTTGAGTTAGTCTAGGTTTGATAATCAAGAGTTTCCCCCCACCCCCCGAGTAATCTCATTAGTGTTTATTAAGTGGACTAAGAAGTTGTCAGAGTTATTCTCTCTATTAAGGTTAATCAGCTAAAACATATTAAGTTTTTGTAATTGACATTGAGATTTAAAGGAACTTTACGATTTATAGTATTGAATTGCGTTCCATTAACTGTTAAGAAGTATTGTTCTAGACCATAGACATATTTTTTTTCTTTAATTTTTTAGTTTTTATTTTAGGATTCGAATCCCCTGAATAAATACGGTTTTATCATATTTGTTTAAAAGCAAACCAATCACAAAATGAGTTCTGTCGTTACACCAGAGGTCCAATGGGCCCAAAGATCTAGTGAATCTGATCCTGAAAAGAATTATTTGTTGTTGACTATTTCTATTCCAGACTGTGCTCCAAATCCTGAAGTTAAAATTGAACCAACTTGTATTTCTTTAAAGGCTACTTCAAATTCTAATAAAGGTGTCAGCTACGAATTGAAAATTGACCTATTCAAAGAAGTTCTACCTGAAAAGACTTTACACAAAATTGCTAACGGTCAACATTATTTTGTAAAATTGTTTAAGAAAGATTTAGGTTTAGAATATTGGCCAAGATTAACTAAAGAAAAGTTTAAGTATGGTTACATAAAGACCGATTTCAACAAATGGGTCGATGAAGATGAACAAGATACTGCTGATCATGACGATACTTTTGGAAGCGACATGATGGGTGGCCAAGGTGGCATGCCAGACATGGGTGGCATGGACATGGGTGGTATGGATATGGGTGGTATGGATATGGAAGCTTTACAGCAAATGTTAGCTCAAGGTGGTGCTGCCAATTTTGGTGGTTAAACACGAAATGCGATGCCAATATCTTTTGTTACATTGTCTTTCATTAATTGCCCTTATTAACTTAATCTAATTTTGAAATATCCTTATCAAAAGTTTGTCTATTCATATTTGAGCACTAATCAATAATTAACACTTTATTATATTATATTGAAGTTTAAAATTCTATAATTATATATTTCTTGATTTTCTAAAGTGTTAGATACACATCTATATAGAAAGTAAAACTTCACGTAAGGTTTTAATTTCATATATCTATTCATTACTCATTTTTATCTTAATTTTTATTCTCTTAAGTATAAAAAAAAAACGTTTAAAGAACACACCTCTTTATTAGCTATTTGATTATATAGCTTGGTATTTCAATTCACCGTTGTACAGCTTTTGAGAAGCTTTCCAAGTTTCACCTGGTGCTAAAGTAACGAAATCATGAACATGACCAGGTTCAACGCAAACCATATTCAAGTAACCATTCTTTGGTTCGAAATCAGCCATACCGCCAGATTTCTTGGTCCATGGATTCCAAACTACGGCATCTGGTAGGTTGGTTCTCTTGACAGAGTGGATTGGAACACCTCTGTTAACAACTTGGATGATACGGTCAGCATCAACGTTTTTATAAATCTTATCAACTTCTTCATGGAAAGTTACAACAGGATGCTTATCAACATAAGAATCAGCTAATAATTGATCATAAGTGGTCATACCAGCTAAATTAGAGACAAATGTGTCTTCTATATCTTCAACTCTCAAATAAGTGTGGAATAACCAGTTAAATTTAAAAGATTCTGTTTGAGATGGATTTTTAATTTCGATATCAGTAAATAAATGATCTTTACCTAATTCAACAGTTAATATTAAGGAAAAACTTTTTGGCCATAACTTTGTCAATTCAGGATTGGCAATTTCTTCGCTTAAACCAAATTGAACAGTTGGTGGATTACTCTTGACTTGACCTAAAAATTCCCAAGTAGAATTTCTTGCCAAACCATGTTGAGGCAATTGCTTTAACAATTCATCGTCTTCATTTTTACCAAAAACTGGGAAAACTAACGGAATACCACCTCTAACTGGCTTTGAACCATCCAGTTTAGCAGCTGTAGATAACCATAATTGTTCTTCACCATTAGATTTCCATGAGAATATAGTTGCACCATATTTCAAAATTGAAACACTTGATGAGCTGTTTTCAGGATGTGTTAAAATAACTTGAGTAGCAGTCTCTTCGATACCCATTGTTTAAGTATAAATTATCAATGATATTATTTTGTAGATACCTGAAGAAAGATTACAATTGACAAGAAATGAACAATGTATAAATAAAAACAATCCAATTGATAACCTTTTATTTTATAACTAAAATTTTTCATGCATCTTCTATAAAGTTCCCTTTCGGTTATTGAAATTTCGATATTCTTATAGTGAGTATATGACGTATTATGTAAAATATTGAAAAATAATGAAGGAATTAATTAATAACTATCATGATTATAAACAATGTAATGATGAGGGGTATGATCAATAATTGATCAATAAATAATATGCTAAAGTCTTACTTTATTAAACTATGGGGAGAAGGGGAGTGAAGCAGATGGGGTTTAATTTGGTACAACCAAATATGCTCTTTGGAGAATGAATTGGCAAAAAGTCTGAAATGAATTCAAGTGAAAATTAGTTGAGGTTGATATTCAAGTTTGATATTATTTCCTGTACATACTTTGATTCGTATATTTGTTCAATATTCCATCTCGAGCTTTTCCTCGTTAATGAATTTGTTACAATTTCCTTTGCATCTGATTCAATATCATTCATTTTATTCCATTTCCATTCAAATCTAGCAATACGGTGAGATGTTGATCTGTTTCTTTGTCTTGCCATTGCGTTTGGAGGTGGGTCAAATGGCAACCTATCTTCTAGCAAAGCATATAATATAACACCTAATGCCCATGTGTCACTTAATTTACCGTCATATGGAACACCCATCAGAATCTCTGGCGAAACATAATCTTCAGAACCACATCTTGCAGTACACATTTCATCAGGTTCAATTTTCTTACATAAACCAAAATCTGCTAGCTCAATTATATTTTGATTCCAAAGTGATGCATTATTCCCTTCTCTAATTATGTATTCAATGGGGTATTTCAGAAGAATATTTTCTAATTTCAAATCTCTATGAATGACATCATTCTCATGAAGATATTTAACCGCTAAAGTAACTTCAGAAAATATACGTTGTATTAGCCAGTTATCTAATTTGCCAGCGAATTGCATTGCTGCTGCAAGAAGATCTCCTCCTGAGCAATAAGAAGTAATGATATTGCAAGGCGGAAGAGTCGGACTCTGAGCTAACAAATCATTCAAGGGTCTCTTGCGTTTGACGAAAACAGGATCGTTCACACCTAAAAGTTTGATTATACATGGATGATTTAGGGATTGTAGTACACTTAATTCTCTTGTCAAAGAACTTTCAAACCTAGATAGAGTGTCCTTATAAGAAGGGTTATCCTCAGAGGCACCCCTTAACATCTCTTGGGGGTATTTAATCCTCTTAACTGCAACATATCTTAAATTGGTATCAGATATTCTATCATCTATTAATTCATAAAGATAAACAGTACTGAAATTTCCTGCACCAATTTCTCTAACAATTCTCCAGTGATAAGGGCCATCCATATTGGGCAATAAGTACCCTTCCAATACATCTGAATCTTCTTTTATATCATGAGGTTTCCCTACTATTTTTTGACCAAGTTTATTTGAATCGCCAGGGAGCTGTTCTTCATTCACTGTTGGCAATGACACTATTCTCTGAGATTGACCCAAGGGTAAGGGAGGTAATTCCGAAATGACTCTCTGTTGATGCAAATTGGAAATGTCATTAAGCTTCCTTGATATAGCAGGATCCCTCCGCCTCTTAGCAACATGTATAGTATTAACAGGCGACCTTGTCGTTGAACTTGAATTCGAAGGAGTATATGTCATCGGAGTTGGTAAAGTTTGAATATTATCAAATGCAGGAATCTGTATCATCAATGGAGTATGTGGATTATCTTTCGAAATTGCTATATCTGTATCTAAATGCAACTTTTCTGTAGAATTATCGATCCCAACATCGTCATCATCAAATTCAGTTTGTGATAATTTTGGTGCTTTAGGGCTACCCTTATTTCTATACCCATAAATTGGCATATCGTTACTGCCACTACTTCCATTACCACTCATAACCTCTGAAATATATCTAAAATTATCTATATATAAAGAATAAACAATAACAATCTCCTCCCAATTATTGGTTTTCTCAACAATTGCCTTAATGGACCCTTATGGTTTTCCTATTATTATTCGATTCCAATTTTACCAAATTTTCCCACAAGCAATATCCCTTATCAACCTTAACCAAAGCTATACAAAAAAATAATTCTTTATAAATTATTCGAATACTATCAGAATACTAACCAAATATTCGAATTGTATTACTTATATTCCCAAAGTCTTTAAACCTTTATTGTTGCTCGATCAATAAATATTTGATTGATATATTTCACTTTCATATATACGCTGCGTTAATTTCCCTTTTCAGTAAGAGCTTTAATTTAAAATACGGAACTATTAACAACTGGCTTCGAAGGTTAAATTGATTTATATGTTATTGGATAACAATTATGTCCTTGACAATATCGAGTTACAATGGAACGATGTCCATATTTAGTATAGATTTGATGTTAGTTAATAATTTGAAGTTTTTAAAATGGTTAAATATGTTAATTATTAATAAAAGTCAGATACAAACTTAAATCTTTATGTATATTAAATATCTACAATTATTATTACTCCTGCTACCATAATAAGAATATTAACGACGTGCTCTCTTTGATCTAGTCAATTGTGAAGATATGTCATTTTCTGACTTTTTAACAGCTGTGGATTTCCTTTTCTTAGAATTAGAGTTCTTTTCAATTTTAGCTTTAAATTTGGTTAATTGTTCTTTACGTACCTTTTCACCATTTTTCTGTAACATCGTAATTTTTTCGATAAGTTCTTTATTCTCTAAGGAATCTTCATCTGAGATATCTTCTAACCATTCCAGTAATTTAATTTCGTTACCGTACCCATCGTCCTTCTCCTGTGGTGTCTCTAAAATTATCGGTATATTATACAATTTATCATTATTGGCAATTATTCTGAAAACTTCTAATCCTAAAAATCCTTCTCCCAATTTCTCATGAAGATCTCTATTAGCAGATAATGGTGCTTTAGAATCGTTTAAATGAATAGCCTTTAGATAGTCATACCCAACAATTTCATCAAATTCTTTCCAAAATTTATCAAACGCTTCTTTTGAACCAATGTCATAACCTGCTGCAAATGTATGGCACGTATCAATACAAACACCAATTCTTGATTTATCTTCGATCATATCGATGACTTCACGTAAATCTGCAAGATTACTTCCAACTAGATTACCTGTACCTGCCATATTTTCCAAGAGAATCTTAACAAATTTTGTTTCTTTAATAGCTTTATTTAAATAATCCGCCAATTGCTTTAATTGTTGTTTATGATCCCCAGTCAGTGAAGAACCTGGATGCATATTATAAAGACCTACACCTAATTGTTCACATCTTTTTAAATCATCTAATAATGAATCATAACTTTTTTCAGCTTTTTCAATATCTGGATTAGCTAAGTTAATGAAATATTGTCCATGAGGCAAAATATCAGTCAATGGATTATAATCATGTTGTTTACACAACTCTTTAAACTTATCTACTTCTTCTTTAGTGTATTGTGGCGAGACCCATTTTCTTGGTGATTTTAAGAACATTGCAAATGCATTACAACCAATATTATAAGCATTACTAACACAGTTCGAGATCCCACCGGCACCTGAAACATGTGCACCAAACTTGTACTTTGAAGCTGTAGACCTTACGAAATTAGACATCTCGATTATCAATCAATTAATCAACCTGGATCAATACTTATCTACTCCTTAAATTAACTCTTATCTAAACCAATGCCATGCTAAAGCTTAAAAATATTGGATTAGGTCCTCTTTTATTTTTAACTATGGTGAAACTTTTTTTTAGCCTTACTAAAATATTTCAGGATATATAGAATTAAGGATTTTGATGAGGTGAGATGAGATGATGAACAGATAACTGTCAATTATAGTACATATATGTTAAAATTTTATAAAAGTATATTACTTGATTTGTCGAAATGATTTGGCTTTTATGGGATGTTCGGTAGTATGGTAAGGAGGGAAAGGGGGGATGATTTATCTTCTTTTTTTAGTAACCTTACCTGATTTTTTGGCAGCTTTTGCCTTTGCAGCAGCTTTCGCTAGTTGTTCTTTTGTCTTTGGTACAACCTGGAAGAATCCATCAAGTCTACCTTGAACACCAGATTTTAGACCCTTTTTCAGTCTTTCGATACCAGATTTTACTCTTTCTTCACTAAATTTCTTTTCACCACATAAGAAGTCAATTAATCCCTTTTCATTTGGTGGTTGCCATTTTAATTCAACTTCGTTGCCATTAATAACATCAGGTTTTAAAAATAATTCTCTTGCATCTTTATAAGGCCAGTCGTTTGGAATTTTCCATTTTGAATTTGATGAATCAGATTCTATATATTCGATAATTTTTTCAAGGGAACCGTATTCTTTAATTAGCTTCAATGCAGTGACTGGACCTACACCTTTGATGCTATCACAGTAATCACAACCTAACATTATACCTAAGTCTACAAATTGTTCCAAAGTTAAGTCCAAACCTTTCAAGACTAATTCTGTATCGATTTCATGGATTGGTTCCTTTTTAGCCTCAGAAAAAGTTAAATGTCTCAATAGATAAGGAGTTCTATAACATAAAGTATCCATATCTTCACTTGCAGCAGCATAGACTTTACCACACTTGGCTAATTCGGCACATTGAGATTCTGCTTCACAAGGGGCAGTAATATAAGGTATACCCATTAATTCTAATAATTGTTTTGCCTCATCGTTATGTTCTTTTGAAACTTTAACTAATCTTCTTTCTTGTTTCATTTTTTCAGCTTGATCAGTAGCTTCTTGTAATTTTTTTTCAGTTTCTTCTCTTCTTGCAGTTCTTTTTGATAATTCATGAGATTTTAGTACAGGTGGTTTACCATCAAAGACATAACAAGGTTTAATACCATTATCGATCATCCTTAAAGTACGATAAAACATACCCATAAGATGGGAAGTAGTTTCACCGGCTTCATTTGTTAGCTGGCCACCATCTTGTTGTCTTACGGCAATCAAAAATTGATACAATGACATTGAAGCATCAATTGCAACTTTTCTACCAAAGAAAGTTTTAATATCACTTTTACGAACAGCTGAAGGTACATGTTCTGATATGATAGCGTTCAAACCTTTAATACCCATGATGAAGTGAAATTAAGTTGTAATTTTTTTTATTGTGATTTAATTGCTAACCAGTATATTGAATACGACATCATAAATACCCACCATATCTATTCAGCATAGATCGATGAGATGATCTCTTTAAAATAGTATTGACAGTATTAGTTCTTAGTTCTTAGTTCCAGGTTCTTCACTTTAGTTCTATATTCAACAAGTAAGACGCGTAAACGTCCACGTGACCATACTTCAAAAACCGAATTAAGAAAAAAGAAAAAAAAAAGATATTAAAAACACGTTTACGCGTCGAGTAGGAACAGTTACCCGATTTGGATAATTATTGAGAATTACAATCAGATGCACATTTATCAAAAACATTTTGGACGAACACCCCTTTATCCATTTCCAAATATCCGCGGAGTTGTGATTTTCTTTGATCTTAAAAAAATATAACCTCTTATCTCTCTCTCTCTCTCTGTGTCTCTTCTCCGTTCTGCCAAACCTTATCAATTTCCCACATCGCATCCACTCCACAACCAGACACCGCAATGTCATAGCTAGATGGTGGAAAACGTACCATGTTGCAAATGTAAACTGCAAATTTGGTCAGTTATCAGGACAAATGTGACCCAAAAGAAATAAATATCAGCGATGACAGCAACTTATCGTAAAATGTCCTGATTGTTTGGAGAATTTGTCTCAGAAAAAATTCCCCAAACATTCAGACTTTAAATGTAGTATCAAAAGTCTCTAAAAGGGTATCTAAACATTTACAAAAAATTAAAAGAGAAATATTCGTCAAAACCTCAAAAAATATGCCTTCATTTTAGGGTTAAAATAAAAAACATCCCATAGTCTGTATTAAAATGGATCGATTTCCAAATGATCTATTACTTTTAAGGACCGAAGAAATCTTGAATCCATTGAAAAGGTGAAGGTCCACATGAAACACTGTAGAGTATAAGTGGGTTCAAAACAATTGGTGGAAAACTGAATGGCATTTCATAGAGACAATAATGGCCAGATTTCTTCTAGGTGTGTATGGTAAACCACTAATTTCTTGGTATCAAAAGTTTCTGTAAAAGACAAGGAAACATGAACTTACCCGCAATGTATAACCGAGCTGCTTACGACATACAGAGAAATCCAACTCACTGAGGAGTAAAATAGTGTGGATAAAACA